GTGCCTTCTTCTGAGCCTTGGCTGCTATGGCAGGGCCTTGCAGAGGATGCAGGAGATGGCTCTGCCTGGCCCTGCACTGCCCACAAGGGACTGTGTATTCCAGTCCCTCATCATAAACCAGGGTCCCAGTAATCCTGTTCTCAGGACAGGCACATCCCTTCCTTGCTCCATAGTCAGAGGTGCTGCTTGGAGCTGCTGAGATGCTTCAGTCTCATCCAAAAGGCTGTTCAGTGTAATAGTTGCACAGGTGCACTAATTTGGCTTCTTTTAGCTGAACCAAAGAACAAAGGATGGGATTTTCCTAAAGCACCTGAGGGATTGAGCAACATTCATCCTTGTGCTGGGGCTGGTGCCTGTGAATTGCTCGTAGGATGGCTTGATTTCAAGCCATCATGATGTAAATCATTATCTTTCATCTCCTTTAGCCTGTGCTCTTTGTGTTTGCACTTTTAAAAGAATATTCCCCAGAGAAATGCTGGCTCTCCCTGGTAGTAACCATTTGGAGGTATCTCTTTTCAGCTAAGTGTAGCCTGTGCACTAAATTTAGTACTTGCATTTGCTGATCAGGATGTTACACAGAACATTTAAATGGCTTTATGGCATATCATGCATATAGTCAGACTTGATTTCTATGTTCTACTACATTAGAAAAAGATGATTGATTCTTTTGTGCGTGAATGTCCAGCTCCTTTGAATTCAATTAAAATGCAGAAATTGGCATTTTAAATCTTTTATTTGTTAAATTAAAACCATGTTAAATGTTCTGGACCCATAAGCGAAAAAAAAAAAGCTGTTTTGCATCTGAAGTTAAATGATTTATTAAGCAAAGGAAGTTATTATCTATCAGAAGGGAATTGAATGGATTTTTTGTGGTCATAATGGCCTTCAAGATTTCTAGAAGTGATAGATCTCATCCTCGCCCACCTAGTTTTAGATCCAATGTTGGAATGAAGAAGTGAGCGTTACAGCTTTTTTAGTTCCCAGTTGGTTTCTCAACTTTGAGTGACCTGAACTAAACTGAAAGGGAGCAAATACTGCCTGTGCATCTGCAGAAAAGGTTACAGCTGCCAAAAGCTGCTTTATCAGCTCAGCAAATTCTGGTTGCAGGTGATATTTTTTTCCCCATTTGGGGGGGATTACTTGACCTAAAATGTTGGAAATAGCACAGGTAACTGCTTGAGAATTAATTTTTAACTTAAACTATCTTAAGCTCATGTCTTAATATAGATTGTCGTAATTCAAGTTGTTTTGTAAATAGCTGCATTTAAAGAGCACAAGTATTTTTAGTTTTCATTTCCAGAAGTGCCCTGTTTTGCTGTTTACTCACTTGTGTGCCATAGTCATTTACATTTTCCTGAAAGCTCAACACAAGGCATTGAACAGGAGCGAGGGGTAGCTGTCAAATCTTAACAAACAAACTGGTGGGGAGTGTTCTGGACCTGCTCCTTCACTTCTTCTCACTTCCTCCTCCTCTTGCAGGGAGCAGATCAAGAGGGTGAAAGACTCAGATGATGTTCCCATGGTGCTGGTAGGGAATAAATGTGACCTCCCTGCGCGGACAGTGGAGACCCGGCAAGCGCAGGACCTGGCCCGGAGCTACGGGATCCCCTACATAGAAACATCTGCCAAAACCAGACAGGTAGGAGGAGACTTTTAAACAAAATGCTCTTTCTCTTTTCTCTCCTCCATTGCTGCCCTGGAGGGGTAGGAAGGGGCAGGCACCACCTTGCAGACAGATGGGTGTTAGGGCTGGGCTGAGTTACTTCCTCAAGGCTAAGTGCTCTCTCCCTCAGGATGTTCCCTCCCAGTCCAGGCTTGAGCCTCCCATCACAAGAAGTGCATAATCATGCTGTGGCAGCAGTGAAGAGAAGATGCCTTCCCAGGGCTTTCTCCAAGGCTCTGGAATAATCTTCATAGTCACTGCAGGTCAGCTAAGCTCAAGTCGCTTGGTTAACTTCATCCATGGTCTATTTTGGCAGAACATACCAGTTTGGAAAGGACCATGGGGAGCTCCCAGAGCACAGAGGTGGAACTGACACCTTCATTGGTCTCAGTGGTGGGTTTTCTCTTGGGTGATAGACCTCATTCAGACTGCTGAAAGCTGATGAATCTCAGGGACTTTAGAGATCCTTATCCTCATGGTTGCTCATTCAATTTTGCTCTCTCTTTGAGGGCCACACTCAGGTCTTGTTAGTCTTCCCAGCTTGGTTCTGTACCTTTAACTGCACTCTGCACTGCTGGACAGTGCTAGGGACACCTTGCTGGGGAGCAGAGCCCTCTCCTCTCTCCACTGGCCCTCCTCAGAGTGGGCAGCTGCTTCAAGCCATGCTTTTCCCCCAGGGCGTTGAGGATGCCTTCTACACCTTGGTGCGGGAGATCCGGCAGCACAAGCTGCGCAAGCTGAACCCCCCAGATGAGAGCGGCCCCGGCTGCATGAACTGTAAATGTGTGGTATCGTGACTATGGTAAGTGGTGGAAGCAGGACATGAGGTGCAGTGGGGGAATGTTGGAAATAGGGCAGGAGGTGAGTGCAGATGCACTAGCCTACAAACAAGTGCAACAGGATCAATTTCAGCAGCAGGTATTGTTTAATGAAACACCTTTCGGATTGATATAGCGTTTTTCTGTGAAAACATAGGTAAGTCAAAATTCCCACTTCCCTGAGGAAGTGTGTGGCAGGAAGGGGTTGTTGATTTCTTCCCCTCATTTTGTGCAACAAAATTCTATACAACTGAATATTTTAAAAAATAATATTTTGTTGTGCTTTCCCCAGGAAAGCTTCTTCCCATGCTGCTGCTCTGAAAGAGGAGTTAAACTGGTGTTGAAGGTGTACAGATCACTGCATACTCACTAGACTGACTCTAGAAGGGTTCAGATAAAGAGCTGGCTGGGTGCATTGCCTCCTAATGCACACACATAAATTGCCTCATCCTAAAGCTTTAGAGCAGACCTGTCTCGCTGTGAAAAGTCCCGTGTTCCTCAGAAGAGTTTTCCCCATTAGATAAATCCCCTGGGCTATTTGGAACTGATGCAATGTTGAGAATTAGCCATAAGGGGGCTGTTTGCTTTTATAAATTGTGTGTGCTGGAGCCAGAAACAGTATTTTTCAGATTGTTTATGTTCACTTGCCTGTTTTTCTTTTTTCTTTCCTCTTTTTTTTTTTTAATGATGAGTTTATTTAAAACACTGCTGGATAGCAGTCAGGGAGAGTTCCTATTATTGTCTCTGCATGTGCTGGCTGGCTTTAAGTGAAAGGCCTGGGAACATCTGTCTGTATAACCAACTCCTTTCATGGCAGAAAGTTAGAGAGGGGTATCTAGGGATGAGTCCACAAAGAAGATCTATATCTAAGGATGTCTGGGACTGGGACAAATGCATGCAAGAATATTGCCCTTAATGTCTTTTGGGCATTCTCCCAAGCATCCAGACTGGCCCTTTACCCCTTTAAATAACTGTGGAGTCCTAAAGAGAAGTGCACTGTATACAGAGATGGTGTTAAGAGGGTCTCGTGAAGGTGGAGATGAACAGTAGGTTTTCTGTGACACTTCTTGATCTAGAGGCCATGAGCATAGCAAAGCTCTTTCTCCTGCCCCCCACTCCCAAGGAAAAAACCCCAAAAAACAGTGCTGGCAACATTTGCTTCCTATGAGCAAACACCCACCCCAGAACCCCACCCCTCCGCTCCCAGCTGAGGCGTGTGAGGTCGGCTGGGGGCCGAGCTGAATGCTGTGCCCAGCACACTTATCACTGCTAAGGGAGATTTTCCAGATGTTTGTGTCCTCCAGATGTTCAGGAGCGTTTCCTCCGGATGGGGATATGAGCTCAAAGGCTTGTTTCCTGCTCTGGAAACTGAAAACAGCTGACGGCATGGGCTTGGCAGGCACTGCTGCTCCCTTACACCGACTGCCAGGAGCCCAATCCTTGTCCCAGCCTGGTGGCAGCACCAGCTTGGGCAAGAAGGGCTGGGAAAGGGTCACTTGGAAACACTCCTCTCTGTTAAGAGAACATGCCTTGCAAGTTGCCTGTGTCTTTTTCTGCTCAGGCAGAAAGTGGAAACCAGACATCTCAGCTTAATCTAGCTGTAGTGCCCAAGAGCAGAGAGGGAGGAACATCAAGGCACAAAAGGAGAAGTGAGCCAAAGACATGCTGGCATTTTGGGAGAAGGGTGGGTGTTGGTGGGTGTTGTGGCCAAAAAAATTTGGCTGCATTTGCCCTGGACTCATATTGTGGTTCCCATCATCCCTGGAGGAGGTGGAAAGATCTTTGCCAGACAGTGCCCCCTCCCACAAGGAGGTTCAGAAAGAGGCAGAAGGTCTGGTGTGGTGCCCAAAGCTCACCCATCACTCCACTGACTCCAAGACTTGTTCCCTTCAGCAGATGTACAGATGCTTTGCTGAGACAGGCCCAGACCTCTAAGACCTGTGTAGCCTTTTGCCTTTGCTCTGTGGGCACTAACAGGGTCATCCCAAAATGTGAGGAAATGGGAACAGCCCCGCTTGCTCTGACGGGGAATGGGTGCTCATGAGTGTCCTCTTCTGTTTCAGCTGTCTGGACCGTGTCTTGGCGACGTTCCCACTGTGCAGTGTGCAAGGAAAGAGGTGAAGCAAAGGAAGAAGCAAAAAAAGGATTCAGAGGAGGAGTATTGGTGGGAGGAGAGGAGCAGGAGGAAGAGGACGGGGGAGCATGTGGCCCTCCATGGACTATCTCGCACTTCACCCAAGCCTGCGGCAAACAATTTTTTTTTTTTATCCCCATCCCCTCATCCTTTGGCCTCCTCCCACCCCGGCAACTGTACAAAGCCACAGATTGAATCACAGTAAATTATTATTTGATCGTCTCAACAAATCACCTTGATGGCTGTGTCCTCCTTCCAGAGGCGGCTGCTGCTGCTGGTGCTCTGGAAGGATCACTGGTGGGATGGTGGGAAGGAAAGAGTGCTGAGATTTTTCTCTTCACAGACCAAGGTCATGCTGTAGATCATGGAAGTGATTGGGGTGGGAGAGACAAGGTCTCACGGCAAGATAGCTTGTCTGTGTTTCCAGCAAGTCTTTTTTATGTCCTCCCCAGCCCACCTGAAACTGCTGGCCCCAAGTTTTGGGAGGGTGGAAGAGTTCAACCAGTCCAAGCCTGTTCTTGGCACCCCTTGAGTACTTTGCTTTCAGCCTAGTCCTTGTGGGATTTATGGCCTCAGATACAATGCCTGGAAGGGAAGAAGCATCAGCGAGGAGACTGGAGAGCTGGTTTCACCTCAGCTGGTACCAGTTTGTTCCTTCCCTGATTCCTTTCCTGTCAGCTCTTTCTGGCACAAGACCTCCCTCATGTGTTGTGCTCTAGAGGCAGAATTGGGACTTTTTGGTCCCCTCCAGCCCTAGCTATGCTAACACCTGTATAGCACATACACCTTGGGCTGCTCCAGTGTGTACAGGTAAGCAAATCCTCGTCTGCCCTGTGCACAGCTTCCTGACTGGTGAGCATGTCGAGAAGGGCTCTCCTGCGCTGCAGAAGCTGGCTGGCTGCTCAGCAACTAAGACTAAAGGATTCAGGCTTCCAGTCCCTGGGTTTCAAGTGGGTAAGAGTGTTTTAGATTAGGGCTAATCTGTTGGGAACCCTGTCTGCTCAGCTCTGCTCCTTTGGGGTTTTTGCCTGAGGTCTGACCTACGTGCCTTTTACTTGCAGCCCCAAGACAAGGCATTGCATTCAGTGCAGTGGGTAGCTTGGCACTTGTTGTCTTTCCCTCTTCCAAGCTATTGCACATGCTAATTTACCTGGCATCCAGAATTAGAAGCATCAAAGGGGGAAGGTGATCCAGCTGAGTGTGGCAGGGAGCTGTTATGCTTGGGCTAGCCCAGGCCTGAAGAGGTGCTGGGTTTGGCAGCCAAGGTTGGTCTGGGTTGGGAGCAGCGAGGGTGGTGTGAGTCACATGCCTCACATGGCAAAACCAGTAAAGAAACCCTGGTCACCCCCAGCACAAAGCCACAGCCCACCCAGGGTTTCCCAGCATCCTTGCAAGCATCCTCCCATACCACACCCCATCCTCCATAATGCCAGGCAGCAGCAGAATTAAAGCAACAGAATTCAACTCCCATGCTCCTTGGGGGTACTGTCTTTGCTTTTGGCCAGGGCAAGAGAGGACTTGTGCTAATGGCTTGCTTTCTGTAAATGCCTGCTCTGAACTGCTGTAGGGCACAGCCCCCACCCTGGCTGCAGCTGCCTGGCACCCTGTTCCCGCAGAAGGGCTGATACCGGTTCCTGGAGTGGGAGAAGTTACCTGAGGGGAGAGTGCCCTGCCTTTAGCTGGGTGTGCTGTTTACAGCAGTGTCTGTCCCTGTGCTGAAGGACTGCTGAAGATGCTGAACCTAGTGTTACATGGTGGGACTGGACCAGAGACTCCCAGAAAACCTCCCACTCTGAGTTGTTTCAAGTGTGAAGACTGGAAGTATGGGGGTTGTTCCTAAAGTTGGCATCTTGTGCACAACTGGCCACAGGACAGCAGTACTATGTCCTTCTAGAAGATGACATGGGGGCATCATTGCTTGGTAGTGTTTCTGCAGTAGGAATGTGGTGCTCTTCATCTGCAGTAGGACTTACCCCTTCCTTCCTCAGGCCCTTGGTGAAGGATGGGATAGATCTATCTGGAGGTCTTCAGAGGAGAAGTAACACTCTGGGGCTCTCTCAAGGACTGGGTGGCTCTAACCACTGAGAGTCTCCTCTCATTTCTGGCTGGGAGACAAATGCCAAGTACTGGGAGCTACGGTCAAGGAAGCTGAGGAGCTCCAGGGAGTGCCAGGGCCAAGGTGTCTTCACAGGGCAGGTAATAGCTGCAGTTCCAAGAAACTGGCACATCTTTGTGAGAATATGCTAGAACAGCACTGGCCGGAATACCAGCTACTTAGAAGAGTTTGGTGAGGAGCAGGAAGCTGAAGTAATAGCATCTCCTTTTCAGAGAGGTTTCTGCACTCAGGGGAAGATTTTCAAGCTTGTGAGACAGTCCTGGTCAGTGACAGACCATCACAGGAGCTGGTTAGTTTTTTGCTGTAACTGGGTCACAAGAAATCCAAACTCAGGTCATTGTTCAAGTCCATGCTAAAAGTTGGAGGTAGGTTAGGAGCAAAAGGAGGTGCGAAAAGCTTGACACCACAGATTGTCTCCAAAAACCATGTATTAATTGTGTATTGTCATACTGCATCTTTGTTCCAGGAGGAAAATCACGACAGATCAAGATGCCTCAACTGTGATCTGGTCTGATCTTTGCTGTTGGCAAAAACCAGATTGTATCACTTCTCTCAGGTGAAGCTGTTACTCTTGACTTGGCTTTTTCACTTGCTACCTTGGTGCTGATTATCTGGGGACAGCACATCATCTTGCTAACCCCTGACAGGCAGGAGGTCGGTACGTGAGCTCACGATGTGTTCTGATGTGCTAGCTGAACTTCTCGAGTGTGAAAGTAATACCAGGATTACAGTTTTACTGGAGTGAATGTAGGTTTGGAGAAACTGAGGGGTTTGGAGTTGATTTTCTCCATAGTTATTCAAGGCACTTTTGTTCTAGAAGTACCTGGAATGGAAGATGAAGTTTTCAGACACTGCAGTTGTTTCCCTTATGATAAGGAGTCTGTTGTGTACCTCAGTTCTGCTTCAGAGGCACAGCTCAGGTGAGCAGAATGTATTTTGATTATTCCTGTTGCATAGCTGAAGCTGGAAGAGTCCACACAGGTGAGCTTTTTGCTATATTTGAGTACATCAGCTCATCTCTGTCTGTTGTGATGTCTTCAGCTGGCCATGGCAAAGCTGAACTAAACTTGTGCTGTGCTGTGGATCTCCAGCCAGTGTGAAAACCAGCTCTGAGAAGGCTTCAGTCAGCCTCCTTCTGATTATGTTGAGACTGCATATCCCATGATGGAGGAGTGCCACCTTTGAACTCGTACTTAAATTACAGAAGAGCTGATGAGGTCTGTTCTAGTCTGGTCAGGTCCAGATGTCTCAGGACAGGCGTATAACACGTTCTTCTCTCACATAATTTAAGTGCCCCACACCCTGTTACAGAGGGGTTGGGGCTCCAGAGACATCACAGCTGAGTCAACTGCCAGAATTGCTTACAAGTCCTTAAAGATGCTGATCAAGTGCTGGAACAGATCTCATGCCTTTTGGTCTGTGAGGGCTTCCACAGGAGCATTCTCCTAAGCCAGCAGAGAGGGTGACTCCAAAGCAGGTGAGTGCACAGTGCTTGCCGAGGGCTTTGGCAAAGACCTGGGTTGTGCAGGAGCTGGCAGCAATGACTCAGTGCTGGGGTGAGACCTGAGATGTGAGGTAGTGGTGGGGGCAGCTGAATGAAAGGCTGAGTATTAGAGAGGAGCTTTGGCTAAATGCTGGCCTCATCCTCCTCACCTGCAGTTGTGGTTGGGTAGAGGAGCAGACCAGGTTTCCCTTCTGGACTACAGCCACTGCTGCACACTTTTCCAGCCTAAGCAGTACTTCTGTATCACTTCTTGCCTTCACCATAAAGGTAAGCAAAGCCACTCAAGAAACAGCTTCCCCAAGCCTGAGGTTATCTAAGTCTGTAGGCTTAGATGTTCCAGGAGCAGGGCTCTGATGTGAGGCCAGGCTGAGCAGCTCCAGGGCACCAGAGTGGCCCAGGCTCTTAATGGGATGGTTGGAAGGGGGGCTTGTGATATTGCATCCCATGTAGCCACAGGTACCTCTAAGGGAGCTCATACCAGTTTTGGACAAAATTGGAAATTTCTTAGTTTACTTTTCTCTGTGTCTTAGGAGGAACCTGTTTTGCTATGTGGAAGAATAGCCAGGCTTTAGTGACTCCAATTCCTTGGACTCATGTCTTCATGTGTGCCTTCTAAGCCTTCTCCATCCCCATCTTGGGCTCTTTTGTAACTGCTGCCAGTGAGTAAGGATGCCCGTGGGATGGGTCCACCTGCTGCATCTCCTGGTGAGATGTTTCAGCTGTGGTTTGGTCATCTCCTGGTGTCCACATCCTTCTAGGTGAAGAGGATGCTGGTGTATGCCCTGTGGGCCTCCTCAGCCACTGAGGCAGTAGGATTTGGGAGATGGTTTGGGAAGTGGTCAGACCTGCCTCTTTAAACTGCCAGGCTGTTATTTTCTCCATACACTGCTTTATACTTGGAGATGTGCTGTAGGAAGGGGGTGACATTGCTCAGAGGATGGTGTGACAGCCACCATCCTGGCCACCAGCAGCTGGTGGGAAGGGGAAGAGGCAGATGGGCTTGGCCCCATGTGCAACCACTTTGCTCTTGCTATGGGTTAAGTACAGGGTGTGTAGCTTAGGAGAGCCATGGTACCAGCCCTAGCAAGGGCTGCTGGGACTGGGGGTGCCCTTGATCTGCTCCCCAAGACCCATCCACTGATGCCATGGCCCCTCTGCAGCACACAATGAGCACGAGAGCAGCATGACAGCAGCATGCAAATCCCACAGGTGCCACAAGCAGCAGGTAATGGATAACAGCACAGCAGCACCACCATGGCAGTAGGACACAGAAGCACGTGAGCAGCACAGCAAGGCGAAGAGGAAGAACACTCCCAGGTCCAGCCAAACTCCAACTGCCTCTGTGAAACTGGCTGGGGCACAAAGCTGCCAGACACAGCACACCCATCTCTCTCCTCCTGCTATATCCTGGGAGCAGAGCCTAAAGCAGCACAAAGCCTTGCTCCCTCCCTCAGCTTGTCTGCTCCAGGCTCCACTTAGCATCAATTATTCAGTGCCAAGTGGCTGAAGCCTTGTGGAGGCATGCAGCCGTTGATGAGCTTTCCATGTCGTGGGAGGTGGGCAGGGATGGTGATGAGCACAGCCGGGGCTTGCCTAAGAGCCAGTGTGCAGCGAGGACAGACCTGGTCTCCTGCTGGGACTGCTGGTTTGGCTGTTCCTGAGCCAGGAAGGACAGGAGCCACAGGGGGCTGCCAGGGCACCGAAGCTGAGCACAGCTTGGGGAGTTTGCAGTTCTGCCTTGGAGACCAGCCCTGGGAGCTGGAGAGCTGCTGTGACGACAGAAATGGCTCCACCAGGAAAAGGGGGACATTAATACTGGCAAATACCAAATGCAGAGGAAGAGGCAGTGGGAGGACCAGTCCCTGGCTGATAAGACCTCTAGGATTTAAGCAGCAGCCTCCACAGCATCTGTGACACTCATTTGCTGCTGGTCCCAATGATGTCCATCAAGTGGGTATCTGTAACCTTGGGCTTTGGGATTGTCCTAATATTTGTCCTCTGCGAGCAGCAGTCAGGTCCTGAAGGGCACAGGACGGGGCAAGGGGTACTGCTGGAATGACACAGGAGCTGTCTACCCTCCCATCCCCTCAGGGACACGAGCACCTCCCTGCTGCAAGGAGCATGCCATGACCTGGTGCTCCTGGCAGCAGCTGGAGGCCAGACCTTCAGTCCAGGCTGGACACCAGGCATGGCTTATGTTCACCCTGAGGTCTTACACTGCCTGGTAAGAGAGGGAAGGGCTTAGGCTTACCTGTGGGCAAGTCCCAGGGGTGGTCTCCCCATGAGAAGAGTCTCTGCAGTGGGTGCTTGGCACCCCAAAACCATACCTGAGAGCCCCATCAAGCACCAGTTCAAGGCTGGGTACCTCTGTGGCTCCTGCACTAGCTGGAGGGATGCTGTAAGAGGAGGTGGTGGAGCCATGCCTGACCCTGGTCCCTGCAGGAACAGGGTGAGAGTACCACAGCCGCAAGGCCACAACCAGGCAAATGCAGGGAGCCTGGGAATCAAGGATACCAATGAGCAATCTTCCTCCATTTTTTTTCAACAACCAAGTGAACCAAGGCTGTTTAATGGAGGAACACAACCCTCAAACCTAGCACAACTCACCTTCCCTTGGGGAAGCTGCCCTTCTGGACACTTCTGCTCTCTCCTTGACGGGGATGCTGTTTTAGCAGTTGGGTAAATGCCATTTCTGAACCCTGCACTGCCTGTCACGTAAGTAACCATGGCAGATGTTCAAACCTGGTCCCACCTGGCACTGCCTGAGAGCCAACAGGTTCACGGGAGCTGGTGGCTGGGAGGTGACACAAAGCAGCATGTGCAATGAGGCTGCTTGTGAGCACCTGGAACACAGGAGGGATGAGGTTTGCTTCTCTCCAGCCTGAGGATCTCACCCTTGGTCACAGTGCTGCATCCCTGTGCTGGCATCCAGTGTGAAATGGCACAGGAGATGTGCGAAGAGCTGCATCCTCAGGCTGCTTCTGTGACAGTAAACTGTAGTGTTCAGTGGTGCTGGGGCTTTCTTTTTGTTTTTCTGTGATGTTTCAGGCCAGATTTTAACCTGTTAATATAAATGAGCTAATTTAAGGGCACTGGAGAACAATTTTTGTCCCTGTTTGACCTCTTAGGTGTGGCAGGGCAGTAACAGAAACTGTAGGAAAACCAGCCTACAGCAGTGGGTGATAGACACATGGGGATGCCAGTTTCAGGCACTGCTCTTAAATCCTAGGGTGCCCTTTAGCTACTTCTGACCCCTCCATCTGCTGTCAGTCTTTGTGCCCTCTGTGCTACTGTGGCAGAGACAGATGCCCTGCATTTACCATAAACATGTTGCTTAACACTAAGTGGCAGCTTTCTCTCAGGGGAGCCAGAACACTGCTCACACTGCTCACATTTAACACCTCAAAGGTAGCAGTACCATTGTCACCAAAGCCCAGGAAGTCCTGGCTATGAAATCTGGGGTGTGTCAGAGGTACTGCTCACGCACAGCTTTTTAAAATGCATCTTCAGCTGTCAGCAGCACCACCTTACACTCCCAGTGGCTGCTGTAAACGTGACTCACCCAGCTCAGCCCTGACTCACGAGTGTGAGTCGCACCCACCCACCCACCTGCTGTGTGAGGAGCTGTGTCCACCCGCTCCCCCTCCCATCCAACCGTCCCTACACTGCCTACAAGCAGAAAAACAAACTCCAAACACAAAATCTTGGCCAAAAAACAAGCTTCAGCAGTGCTGCTGATCAGCAGCTGTGTGTCAGAAGGGATGCTGCCCTTTGCTCAGCTGGGAGAGGACAGTGGTAAGTAGAAAAGAGCATTTTGCTTTCCACTGCTGCCAGGGATGCCTGGATTTAATTACAATAGAAAATCAGGGAGGAAAGCAGAGATGGAGCAGGATCGACCTGTTGCAGCTGAAGCCTACACAGTGAACCAAGCTAAAAGTCATCAGGAGAAGGCAACCAGTCTTGGTGCAGCTTCTGTTCCTGTAAGAAATCTTGTGGAGTCTGAATTTATGCTAAACTTCTTTAACCATTATTACTACAACCATGTAAAACACAGCATCAAACAGTCTGGACAGTTTGGATCAGCATAAAAAAGAATGATTGACTTTTTTTTCAAAAAACCCCTTCCTTTAAGAAAACCAAACTGAACAAACAAAAAAGCAGACATAAAAATGTTTTTTTTTTCTTAAACTTAAAAGTAATAATACATTAGAAAGAGTCATGGAAGAAGCGTTCCACGCTGTAAACAAGAATAGCAAATAAAAAAGAAAACAGACGGTAGCCAGGCTCTCAAAGTGCATGGCCAAGAAACCCTAACCTCAGCCTCTGGCCCCTGCTGGAGCTGGATCTCGTGGCTCCTGCTGTCTGCCAGTGCTGCAGTCATTCAAAGTGCTCTATCACAAACAAACAACACAAAGAAAAACAAACTAAACCTAAAAAACCCAAACCCACAGCGTTGGTCTTTACATGGAAGGCAGCAAGGCCAGTATTGTGTCAGGGCTGCAAGGGCAAGGATGGGGGGAGCTGCTTTCCCATGCTTGCTCACAGTAAGAGTGGTTTTTGCTGAGGGGTCGAGACTGTTGCAGGGGGCTGGGCAGGGCTGCAAGTGGCTTGGTTAGGTAATTTGTCCTGCTGAGCTGCCACCCTCATCCTTCTCCTTCCCTTCCTATTCCCAGCAAAAGAGCTGAGGCTGGGCCAGGCCTTGCTGCCACAGACCCACCATGGCTGCAGCTTTGTCTGCAGCAAGAGGTGGAGGAAGAGACAGGAGCGGGCATCTCCTTGGGGGTCATGCATTGATATGTTCCAGCATCACACCAAGGACAGCAATGCATGTTGCTGGTGGTTACCCCAGGCCTGAAGATCTCTGAGGACCTTGCTACTCATTCCCATTAGGGCTTGCAGAGAAAGACAACTCCCACCCCTTCTCCATCAAAATTCATGTTGAACATCATGCACCAAATGCCATGCAGTGAGTACTGTGCATTTGACAGCTCTCCAAAGTTAGAGCAAACCTCCTTTTTAAATATTAATACTGCAAAACATTCCAGACATACTGTGTGAGGAGTCGGTGCACAAGCAACATGATGTGCAAAGGCTGTGTGCCTGAAATGAGGGAAAATGGGTTAAAACAAGGGGAGAGAGGTCTCAAGTCTTGCAAGCGTGATGCTCAGATGCATTAGAAGGAGTCCTAGGTGGGCTTCAAGGAGAGGACAGAGCCCCAAGCTACAGAAGCCAAGTCAAGATGTGACCAACAGCTCTCAGATGCTTCTTGTTGCTTCCCAGTGAGCTCCTGTGGCCAGTGGGCTGCTAGCAAAAGGCAATGGATATCTGTCCTGAAATACTGCTCAGGTATTTTAACACACAAATAATGTTTAACTATGCACAGTTATGGAAAAACATACTCTAAATTAAAAACAATTCACATACCATTGTCCTAGAAAGGACCTGTGGTGTCTTAAAACACAAATACTGAACATTCAAAGAGCACTTTTCCTCAAACAGCAATGCTTGACTCCTCACAACACCCCTGCGAGGTAGCTAATAGGGTTATCCCTGCTCTGCAGAGGGAGAGGATGGGCAAGGTTGGAGGCTCAGTGGAAGATGGGGCCTGGGACAGAGCTGGGGTTCCAATGAAAGCTGAGGGTGCTGTGGTCTGGCTGGTTACATCCAAACAAAAATCCAGTGCTCCCTTTGACACTCCCTGCTGCAAACATAAACCACCACATGTACACAAGGCAAAATAAACCCTGATAAATCGTAGAACCATAGAATATGCTGAGCTGGAAGGGATCCACCAGGATCATCAAGTCCAGCTCCTAGAACCCACAAAGTAATTTAGTGGAAGTTTTCTGCTGGGCTTTCAGGTAGGCTTTAGATCAGGTTATGCAACTGAAGCAGCCTGTGAGATTAAAAAATTAGTTTTCAAAGTCTCCTTAGAACTTAAAGGAGCTTTTGCCCAGGATCTCTGTTGAAGGAATGGGAATCCCACTTGCAGTCCCACCTAAGATGGCACTTGCAGCTACCCCTTATGGACAGCAAAGTCAAATTCAGCATATCTGGCGTAGTTCCTGCTTTTTCACTGATCTGCCTTCCTGATAAAGTCCCTTCAGCTCTAAGGGTGAAGTAGATGCTGGAACCAGAATTTTGGACCAGCTCTTTATATGGGGTGTTTCCCCAGATCCCTGCACATCTCCAGCCAATGGCCTGGGCTGTACAGCAGCTGCACCTTGGGATGGGGAGGAGATGGACAGACTTCTACAACTTGGTGCATGAAGGGCAAGTGGGCATGTGGGCACCCATCATGTCCAAGTTTCCTTCCTGTCATTAATTCTCTGTGGGCTCAACCAGAAGGGCTGAGATCAGGTTCTGGGCAATGTGCTCCCCCTTCCCCAGTTCCCATTCCCTTTCCACTCTGACACTTAACTTACTCAAAGCAAAAGTGGACTTATCTGGGGCACTGTGATTAGATGCCATCACATGTGCAGCAGCTTGGTAGTGCAGGCAGGTTTCCTGAGCCAGCAGCCCCTTTTCCTGTTTGGGGAACAGAAAGGCAGCGAGTCTGCTCGCTGTGCTGGCCCTGGGAAGGAAAGGCCAGCAGAAAGGGCACTCAGCCTGAGACCAGGCTCCACCTTCATCACTGTCCTTGTCACCCTGAGAACGTGGGAAAGAACCACTCTGCTGGCAGCCCCACACCGGGGTGACCAAGGAGATGTCCAAGGGACTCAGCAGCTGTTAAATCTGTCCTCCTAAACACCATCCACCACGGCAGCAGGAGCCAGATGCACTGCTTTGTGGAATTGCATAGAGGGGGCAGCGGGCTGCCTGTGTCCTGCCAGGAAGCCATGGCACTGCCTGGAATTCTGCTGCCTACAACTGCAGGTCTGGGAAATGAAATAAAGATCTATTGCTACAAAGGCCTTTGAAAGCAATGCTGTAGCTGTGCCGATGGGGGGTTGTAAAGAAAGCGTTTCGGATTCTGACACCTTGTGCCTGCTTGCTTGATCGTGGGTTCCCACAGCAGACAGGAGCAGGAGAAAACACGCAACAAACTCACCAGCCCTGCCTCTTCCCCCAAGTGATGAGACTTGGGGAGCTTTGAGGAACAAAAAATGAAAGCATTTTTCAATTTGTCCATAGGGAACACGCCAATCCAATCTGCTGGTGTCTCCTAGTGCTGGTGGGCACTGCTTCGTCTCCTCGCTGGGTGCTCGTACCAAAGCACAGCTTGATGTGTGATGGTGCTGTGCTGTCACCCTGACAGCCCTGCTGACAGAAGGGGATCCTGTAAATGGGACAAGGGTGCTTCTCCAGAACCCACTTCTTCTCCCTTAACTTCCCCTTCCCCATCCCCACTAGAACGTCACTGATTTGGGCATCTTTGCCAGGGAAGGAGAGCCTGAAAGGAAACTGTTCTCTGAGCGGGATTTGGCAACCTGTGGCGGTAATTTTGGTTTGGGGCTCAGTGGGGGTCGTGGGGCTTTCAGTGCATTTAATGGTTTCTGGAGGCTTTTCTGGACCTCTACCTCCTCTGGGTCTGCCATAAGAGGTGGTGGCATGGAGGTGGTAGGCAGAGGATGTCCAGTCTCTGACAGAGGCAACGCCACCTGCTTTCTGTTCAAGAAGTCCTGCTCTGTCGCATGGGCCAGGTGGAGGGGTGTGGTGGTTTTGATAATGACATAAGGGCTGTTCCCTTCCACCAGAGGGGACGGTGCCCGCTGGGCGGGGCAGCCCTCGGCCAGCCCCGCTGCCTCCGGCTCTCTGCTGGACAAGGTGGGCACACTGCCCCCCGCCTGCCTGTGCGCGGGCAGCGTGCCCACGGCCTCGGGCCAGCACGTGGTGGCACTGCCCGGCCCATTGTGCTGCAGGCTGAGGAGCTCTCCTGTGGATGCAGCTTTGGATGCCGAGCGCTTCAGGCCCATTTTGTCCGGCAGCACCGCCCTGCAGTGCCTGTCATCCGCCGCCTCCTCCCCGCGCTCGCTCTCGGGGGAGTCATCGCTCTGTGAAGTGCAGGAGAGCTGCTGGCAGCCGGCTGGCAGAGGATGGGGGGCTGCTTCGAGCACTGTGTCTCTGCTCAGGGAAGATGCCTGTTCTCCTGCTGGCAGGGCAGCGGGATTTGGCTGCCACACTGCCTGGTCCGTAGAGGAAAGCTCAGCGGTGCTGGAGTCGGGAGGAGCTGGCCTGTTTTGGAGAGAGGAGTCTAAGGAGCTGTGCTCAGCTGGGGCATGGAGGGAGACTCCATGGTCCACCGCGGCACAGCCAGGAGCAAGAAGAGGCTCCTCTGGAGGCAGGACTGTGGGCAGGAGGTGTTGCTGGGCCTGCGTCTCGCTTGCCTTCAGAAGAGATGATGGCTGCCCGTCCATGATGGGCTCCACCTGACCCTCCTCATCTGGTGGCTGCCCACCCGAAACAGGCACGTTTGTTGCTTCAACTGCTTCACTACCCTGGAAGGTGAGAATCCTCGCTTCCACCACTGTCACTCCTTCTGGTGTGCCAGGAACTCTGTGGCGATGAGGCTCCCTGTCTGGGGTGTGCTCACCCACCTGGCCATTCTGGCCATTGGCCGCTGTGTTCTCCTTTATGGCTACTGGGTTGAGGGAGAGCTCCAGGCCCAGGGGTTTCCTTGGAAACTCCTCAGGCTTTGCTGCATTGGAAGCAGAGAAAACAAAATAAAACCCAAACTGTGCATCAGTTTGTGTTTGCATGCCCTGAATGTAAGGAAGACAGATGCTTCCACACAACGAGCGCCAGCCCCTCTGGGCTACCCTGGCTCCCAGCCACACCAGCGGGATGCTCTGGTCCCTGCTGGGCTGCCCACCTTGCCCTCTACCCACCTGGTGGGGGCAGGTCAAACTTCATTTTGCGCAGTTCAGTCATTGACACCTGCAGCTGCTCGATGACAGCATCGTCCTCGTACTGCAGGGAAGCAGCAATTTTCTCCTGCAGAAATTCACGTAAATCTTCCAGTGCCATCTTCAGCAAGCGCTCTGGGGGATGGGAGAAAGGAGTAATAGCAGTGGCACAGATAAATTTCATGCTAGTACAAGCATGGGTTACACCACACTTTGGTTTTATCTGGGATTCTGTTGCTGTTCCCACTCCACAGTGGGAAAGCCTGAATGCTTTTGCCTCTCTCCCATCTTCTCACTATTGCTCAGGGTCATCAATACATGTATATATCCATACCACCTGAGCAGTAGCTTCTCAGTGGCAGGACAATGGCAGGGCTGGGAGCTGTGCTGATGAGGATGCAGGGTTTAGGCCATTTCTGGAAGTTCTCACCAATGCCTCTAGGAGGAGGAAAAGCTCCATGAGACAGGCCCTAAGCGTCAGGCTGAACAGCCACTGCCGGCAGCTGCCACCACCAGCCAGGGATGCCAACCTGCACCAGCAGGCAGGGATGCAGGAAGAGGTGGTGGCCATTACAAAGGTTGCAGACAGGGATGGGATAAGGCAGAAATGGGTTGCAGGAAGAGATGTCAACCCGCACTACACATTCCTCAGGGAGGCGAGATTTTGCAGCCAAATGGAAACATCTCCCTGCCTGCCAGTTTCCCATTTTCTGCAGACAAATAGAATACTTCAAGATTTATTTATGGATAGCCCATTCTTCATTTAACTGAGGGAAGAACAGGGTGGCTGTTTGCAGAAGCCAACACATGCAGTCCCATAAATTCTGCTGCCCAAAGGTTCTCAGCACACACTCCTGCCCCAGATGAAGGCCAAAATTTGAGTGACACAGCAAGGCTATCAATTTATGGGAGTGAAGGGATTCAAAGTTACAAAGATCTTGAGGTAGAAACATCACTGCCTTAGTGTTATGCAAGACAACCAGGTTTGGATCATTTTAGAAGTGTATTACTGGATTTACTTGTCCCTCTACAGACTTTTCAGTTGAGCCACCACATAAAATTCTGCAGACAGATGGGCTGCTGTCTGTATTGCCCCTAAAAGCAATATGTGGGGCAAGGTACATAGGAAGAGGAGCTGGGAGCATTTCACGTGTGGTTTCTGTGTGCTGAGCACAGCAAGTCAATCCTTGTGGCACCTCATTTCCTCCCCTGGACTGTGCCTTTTGTGGCCAGCGCAGGGCACCAAGAGGCTGTAAGTGGCCAGCAAGGCTTTTCAGGTCAGCAGCACAAGGGTGGCCCAGCAAAGTGCCACCAGAGCCATAGGGGATGCAGTCACGTGGGACCTTACTTTTGTGCAGTTTGAGGATGGTGTAAGCCATGGCTGTCAGCACTCGCTCCCCTTCCAGGATGTAAATATCCCACAGCCGCAAGGTCAGCGTGAATGGGGTCTGTTTCAAACACACAGACAAATCACAAATGGGATGATGCAACAGAGGCTGCTGCCATCACTGCATCACCTTGCACCAAATCACACAACAGGGCTAGGCTTTGCAAGTCAGGAATTAATGTAAAACACAAACATGTCTTTTATAATCTATGGCAATCTTAGCCTTGAAGCTAATGAACTTGGGTGGCTGGGGAAATATTTAAAACCCATCCATGAATGCAGAAAAAAGAGAAACTTCCCTTACAAGCATGCTAGCATGGGATTCCCCTACCCTGGAGAGAGTACCATAATCTTTCAGCCTTGTGAGCACAAAAACCAGCTTCTGTATCCATCCAGGTTTCCTAGGAGGGCTATTTATGGGATAGGTCTGAAAGCCCAATGATGCATCACTAGGCATTAAAAAAAAATCATTCATTTGGTGTCCAAAGAGGAGTTTTTCTTATATACAGGCTTATTTCTGCCTGCTAAAAACACCTCTGCAAAAGGTTTTCATTTGCACCCAGACCCAATCTGACAAACAGGATTGAACTGATGCCCAAAGTGAGGGAGCAGCCCATACCTCCCACCAAAGATTGAGGCACCTCACCAACATAGAAATTAATATTAATCCTACTGAGATGTTTAGGTTCAAATTTAGGATACTGCACTGACTCTCCAGAGTTTGGCACAACTGACCATTGCAGCTCTTTTACCACACACTACTGCAGTGAAAGGGATTGTACATTTTATACAGCTTTTAGTGGCAAAAGGAGTGAGTTCCCTCTCGAGGGGAAGGGGCCATCCACTGTTTTATAGAAGACAGTGCAGCAGAAAATTGAGACTGGAGCACACAGATGTCCTAAATATTAGCAAGTCTGGACATTGCATTCAAGTCCAGTAAGCACAATGCTGACCCTAAAAATAAAGTAGTCTTGGCTCAGAACTAGCAAATTAGCTCTGGACAAATCAGGGTAATTTTCTCTCACTTCCACCTTTCCAGTCCCAATCGGCTCCTTTGCCTGCAGCTGCTGCACTGCTATTTGTTGAGGTTTGTGCCCCCAGCTCTTCTTCTTTCTATCTTGTCTCCGGAGCCAAAGTGAGGTTAATTGCCTTTGCAGCAGTGCCAGTGGGCAAGAGAAAGATCTCTCCTGATTCTGGAGTTTATACTGCTGATGCTGAGCCATCTCCCTGCGACTGCTTGTGATAAGGCAGCAGGAATTGGCTTGTCATCAGTGACATGCAGTTATTTTTACCGTCTCCCTTATTAATTTTTTTTGCCTTATGAGAGTGTGCATAATATCACACCTTATAAAATATTAATATCTTCTTCAAAGTATGATATTTACAAAAAAACACAGGCAGCTTAACCATGCATGCAAACAGGAGAGCAGCAAAAAACCCCCAGAGCATCCTCACCCGGTCAATGAAACACTGCAGGAACCACTTGGTTGTGTAAATCCCGGTGGTCATCTGCTCCTTGTCCTGGGGGAAGACAGCAAAGAGAGACAGGCATTTCACCAGGCTGGTTACTGGAGGTTCAAGCAGCTCATAAGGCTTTGGGGGAGGCTGGTTGGTTGGTTTACTTATTCTGGGATCTGGGTGCAGGATATGGCTGTGGTTCATCTCCCATCTCCCAAGAAAGCCCCTGCTTTACACACCAGTGTTGAAGCCCTGCTTTGGCCCTTTGCCCAAGACACCCACTGAACCTGGTCCTCAATATGGCCAGACTTCAGCCATAGTATTGGAAAGGAATTTCTGGGAGAAGCTTTTCTGGCCTAATACCTACTCTAGGGATTTATAAAAAACTTTCCAGGAACTCAAACAACTTAATCCTTGCAGACTACCATTTTTGTTTCCATAGCAATTCCCATGTGAGCCTCTCAGAGCACAGCCAAGGCAGCTTTGGAAGGACCACCTCATTTACATGGCATGGCTGCTGCAGGAGCAGGACAGCCTGACAGGCTAAGGAAAATTCTTAAAAACCTCACCATCACCACCTCAGTCTAACACTTCTCCATCTGGTGCCCACTGCTGGGATGTGTGCAGAGCTGACATCACCTCTGCTGCAAAGCCAACAAAGCAGTGGAGATAGGAAGAGAAAGAAGCCCATGGGATGAATGGCCAGCTCTGGCCTTTGCTTCTGGCCTTTTGCTGTGCACCTGCAAGCCTGGAGAGCCTTCAGGAGCAGGAGGAATGAGCAGCTTTCTGAGTTATTCCCACCCCCTCCCCTGCCCATGACTATAATTAAGTGAAAACCTAACATGGCTCTGTTTTACTTTTACAGCCATTTTTGCAGCATGAAGCAAGAGCTGTTGCAGATGATGATAATACAAACACCTTTTGCTCGAGATGGGGGCTACCAAGCTTCTTGGGAGCATAAGAAAACTTTAGGAGTCTGGCCACTGAACACCAGCTGTCTACACCAAATGCAAAGGGGGGCAAGGCAAGAGAAAAAAAGGGAGAGAGCAGGTGCTGCAAAACAGTGGCCTGGACATAAGACTGGAGTTGGTGTGCCCTGCAGATGCTCCTGCAGCCACCAAATGGGCCTGTACCATTTGCTAGAGAAAAAAGCAACTGGACATGTCGAAGCAACAAAACACCCAGCAAATCTTATGTGCCTCCTGACTTAAAACAACAGCAAAGCACTTAGAGCTAATAATTACTGAAATAAGACTCCAGACAGACCAGCATCAGCCTTTGGGCCTTGCAGCTGGTGTAAGCACGCAGCCCAGCCTCACTGCTGCTCCTCCTGCTGCAGGCTCTGCAAGCCTTCCTGGCTCTCCTGGGAAGCCTTTACATTTTAGCAGTCCCTCCACTAATGATGATCAGCAAGCAAATGATTACCATTCACCTCAGCAAGATTTGGGCAACCCATTTAATAAATGCCTGCCTCTGCAGCTGAAGCAGTCCTATATATGGTTAGAAATACATTAGCTGTGCACCTGTTTGGCAGAATACTATATGAACTGCTTTATCATTAAAATGTGGCATTATTATAGGAAGACTGACAGTAAAGCGATACCATGTGCTTCTTCAGTTTGGGGAACAGTTTGTTTAAAATTTGCTCATGGTGGGCTTGAAACCTCTGCAGCTTCGGGAACCCAGGAATGAAAAAACCTTAAGAAAAGAGAAATAAAAATCAGGTAAGCTCTGCAGCAGTGACAGGGATAGACTGATTATTTATAAACTCATCTCTTGCATCACCTGTTGAAGTTGGCTGAACAACAGGGTGCCCAGCTACCTCCTTTTCACCTTCCTTTCTAGAGGTCACCCCTCACCCCATGTGGGTAACAGGACCCTCAGACCAAGCCCAGCTGGTCCTTCTCACCCAGCTCCCACTGCCTGCCTGCAGCTTGGCTTGGCCAAGAGCTCTCCGAATACACCTCAGTGTGTTGCAAGGTTCACAGAAAAGCTGAAGATGTCTGAACACCATAAGCTTGTTCAGTGCCCTGTAACGTATATTTAAGACTGTCCAAAGTTATCAAGCCATAGGGTTTAGCTCTCTGCCCATGAAATAACCCTCTGTGCATAGATTACTGCTAACCACAAGTAAGATGAAAGGATGTTTAATGTGTTTGAAGTAAAATAATACATCACACATTTAGTGGAATTACGTCTACATTTAGTGTGGATACTCTTGGATGTACTTCTGGGAGAATTCTTATAAACTCATAACCTTGAGTTCATTGATTGCCAAGGGCAAGGAACCCTGGAGGCAGGACAATGCTTCTGTGAAAGTGTCAATTACTGAGCTCTAAAGCTCAGGTGGGTAAAATTCGGTTTTTTTGATAAGAGTTTGTCTGCCTCCAAGAGTGAAGTTCAGCTCCCCAGTCAGGCTGCGCAAGTAGTTAAGCCTCACCCACTTTAATTAAACAAATACGTGAGGAGAAATAAAGCTCTACTGACCAACCTGAACAATCTTCCCTTCCTTTGGCAGACACCCCCTGCCCCAGCCCAGCCTTACCGTGCATGGCGTGGCGCTGGTTGGTGAGCAGCTGTGCCAGCGCCCAGAACGCATCCTCTTCATTCAAGTACATCAGGAGGATGGCTGCAATCTGGCTCATCCCTTGGCAGTAGCTCACTTCCTGCAATAGTCAAGAGGGGCACACGTGCTGCCATGCTGGCAGAGCCTACCATAATGCTTAAGCTTCCTGTACTTCCCTCTCCTCTTCCAAGGTCTGTCCCTGTTGTATTGCACATTTCAAAATTTTTACCGTTTATGTCCAAATTCACAGCTCCTATACGTTTACAGCATCTACCATGTCACTGACTCATGGAATAGTTTGGGTTGGAAAAGGACCTTTGAAGATTATCTCTTCCAACCCTCCTCAGGGACAGCTTCCACCAGACCAGGCTGCTCAAAGCCCCATCCAAACAGATTTTGAACATTCCAAGATAGGCATCCACAACTTCTCTGAGCAATTATTTCCATGCCTCACCATTGTAAAAAATGTTTTCCTTATGGCCAATCTATCTTTGGGATGACAAACAGCATGTGTTTACATTCCTTCAGCCATATGAGCACTGAAGTAATTAAACAGTAAATAAATCTGGTAAACATTTATCTGGCATGAGAGAGGCTCCTTAACTAACCCCCTGAGCATCTTCTTACTGTCCCCTGCTGGAGGTGGAGACAGTAGGTTCAGCTGCTAATTTCAGCTCATTCTGCCTGTATCCTTCAGCTAAAAATTACTGGTTTGCTGTAGTAAATAAGTGTTTTCAACAAGGATACCATTTGGTGTATCCTTGACAAGAAGTCAGAAACATGACAGACTGCCAGAAAACTAGTGTTGCTGAAAAGCCAAAGGGCAATCCCTTGTTCTTTGCTGACACTCTAAATCTCTCAGATGTCATTCACCAGGTGACAAAATGAACAAGGGAATGAAACAACTGTGGAAAGATTCCTGTGCTGCCCGAGAGTCTTGCAGCTCTCTGTACTACCCACTATTAGGACTTAAAATTGGAATTACCACTGGCTAAATAAGTGCGTGTTTATTACCTATATATACAATGAAAATATGTATGTCTACACAAATACACACACATATAAAGCTTTTCTTTAAATTTTTACATATATATAAAAATATATAAAGCACAGTGCTCTTCATGTTAACTGGACTTACTACTTACAGTGTTATAAACTGAGTATGCTGACAGGACGTGGAAGAGTGCCTGTTGCCTGGGGAGAAAGAAGGATATTAAAACACCTGAGCATGAGGTCTCCAGCTTCATGAGCACACCAGTGCATATACACAGAGAGCAGATTCTGAAAACACCCAACCAGCTGGTACTTAATGCTTTTGCAAGGAGCAGGACTCACAGGACCAGAAAACTCGTTCCTTGGAGACTGGGTAGGGCAGTCAGGTGTGACTTTCTCCAGTGACAAAGTCACTTTGTCAAACCTCTCCAACCCAATCTGTTGTGAAGACCCCATCCCTCCCAGATCCTGATGGGCCCACCCCAACATCCCAGCCATCCCAAACCAAGCCTTCTGCAACTGTGAGCCCTGGGAGACAAGGCACTGCAACAGGCTGTTGCTGGGCTCAAGAAGTGGGGCTGAGCCAGCTCCAGTGTGGACCTCGCTGAAAAATAATCAGCAGTTCAGCATCTGCAGGTCACACTGTGTGGTGATGGTTTGAGGAGAAGGCAAAGATGGCTTGGCTCTGAGCCAGGGTACTGGCTGGCTGCTGATCCAGCTCATTCCTCACAAATGCACTGGCAGGACTGCCCATATAAGCCACAGAAGCTTTCCATACTCACTTCACTCCGTAGCGATCCCGAAACATGATGTGGTTTCGGAAGGTGCGGTTAACATCCAAATCTATCTGCTTGATTTCCGATGAAAAATTTTTTGCTTGTTCTTTCATTTGCTGGAAGGGAGAGGGGCAGACAAGAGGCAGGAATCAGACACCATCTCAGCCTGTACCTCTCTCCACAGAGGGAGAAGGCAGGATTCCTGCAGCAGGAGTGGCAGCTTGAGAGCTACAGAGCTATCCAGAGCAGGGGACATTGATGTTCTGCAGTGAGCAATGAACTGCAGCCTGGAGGTGAGACCCTGACTCCTTGTCTGTGCTGCTGGCCCAGGGAGAAGGGGATGACCCCACACTCAACATGCTAAGACAGCAGCAGCTGCCAACCCAGCCTTTGCCCATCTTCCAATGCAGATACTGAGTTTTCAGAATCTAAAACCTCTACAATTCAATTCTACTCTCATTTATTTTGATTTCTTTGCCTGGCTGGCTGTCATAAAGCATTAAGAACTCTGTTGATCCTTAAAGGAATGAATACACAGATGTATGCAGCACTCTCAGCTTTTCAGAGGCTCAATCATAATAAAGTCTCAACTGTTATGACAGACTGTGATCTCCAACTACTACTTTCCCTGAAGAAGAGAGTCATCTTCAGTTTAAGGAGTTTCCACCAGAAAAGCAGTCCTGGAATATTGCCTCAGACTGGTACAAATTTTAAGAAACTGGCAGAGTCCAGAACAGGACCTAAACTCAAAGCCAAGAATCCCCATGTTCCCCCCCAGGCTGCCTAATCATTTAAGGCAGCATCACACAGAAAAAGGACTGAAGTCCACTGCAAAAAAAAATGGAAATTCAAATGAAAGTTTAAGACCACCTCAACCAATTGTGCCCTCAGAGCCCCAAGATGAAGATGCTCCATGGACAAATCTCACTGTGGTCCCATCTGCAGCCCACTCTTCAGCTCTGTACTGCAGGCAAGAATAACTATGCGGTAGCTAAGCATCTCATCTCACAGCCTTTAGATTACACCAGTGATCATGCCCTCCTCCTTTAATGTCTCCAGGGTTAACTGCAGGAAAATACATTTTGTGACTGTCTTCAGGCACACTGAGATTCACCAGTAGGTTGGAGGCAGCAGAGATGAGCAGCAGGCCCAATTTGCCTTGAGCCTAGGGTCAGGCTCACAGAGGAGAGAGAAAATAGAACATCTGCACAGATACTTATCATCTGCTCCAGCAGCTGCCATCCTGTGAATGCTTATCAGCCTGATACCAGGTGCCTCCAGGCTGCTGTTGACCTCCCAAGGTGGCCACATCAGCTCTGGGGAACATCAGAAGGTCATTAGCACCCACATGAGTCCAGCACAGCCAACACTTTGGATGATCACAGCATCTTGGGAATATTAACTCCACCCTTGAAAGCAGCTGTATGGAGGAGCAATAGTAAAGGGGCTATTTTGAATTATTGCCTACACAGGACAAGTGAGGATAAAAGTGGTGATGGAATGAAGATCCGATGAACAACATAATTTCCCTGCTGTAAATAGTGTGGTCTCTGTATCCTATGGCTCCTTGCCCTCTATAAAGCAGACAGACTACCTGAGAGAATATGACTATTCATGTGCACTGGGTCACTTCAGTTCAAATTTTCCTGCTAAAGGCCCTCTTGTTTTCCCTGCCAGAACAACACAAAAATTTCCCAAAGTAAATACCCTACTTTGGGTATTTTTAAATCATTGCACAAGAAGAGCAGGTAGGTCACACAGGACTTTGTCAACTCCATTCACCCAGGAGGCTTTACTAATTGTGCAGACATTAAAAAAGAAACACAGGATGGGTTATTCTCCTTTTTTCCCTAATGTAAATAACCTGAGGGCTCCACAGATGCTCTGTTGAGCTCATTAGCGCTGTGAGTCCTGCAAGCTGGTGGCAGAGCAGAGGCTGGAAAGCTGGAAGTCCCATCCCAAAGACCTTGAACAAAGCAGTGGGTAAAAGCCAGGATGCCTCTGCTCTGCCCCATGGCCAATATGTTTCTCCTGCTGCCTTCTCAAGCTCCCATCAAGCCCTCTGGCTGCAGCTAATAAACCCCAGGGAGGCAGAGCGTCACACCTACAGGAAAAGCAAGCGCAGAATGTCCCATGGTAGCCTTCAGGCTTTCGTGCCATGGGTTATACCTCAGGGAGAAATGGGGTGGCCTTGGAACCAGTTCCTTCAGGACACAAGTCTGAGGCTTAGTCCCTTCTTGAAAGCAAAACCCCTCATCCAGGACTTGCACTGAACCTCTCCTGGAGGAAATTAGGGGAGAGATAATTACTGGTGGCAGGCAGCACCCAAGAAGAGGTAGATTAAGATGATCTTGTAGAGGGTTTGCATCCAGCAAAGCCTATTAGCCCTGAAGCTCCTGTTTATCGCAGACCCCTCTGGAGCACAGATAAACTCCTTGTGACTTTCATTTGTTTGGATTGCTTCCCTGCCTGCACAGCACAGCTTTGAGGGAGGGAGCACAATTTTAATCTGCGTGCTGGGAGAGCTTCCTTATCTGTGCTTACTGTGGTGAGCCCAGCCTGCCTTCCCCCAGCCCCTGCGTGTGCCTCCATCCCCGCGGCACCTCGCCAGTAACATCCACGCTTGACTAACTATAACGAGTGTTAGCATCATCCTGCTTAATAGGCAGGGATTTTTAGAAACACCTGTTGGAAGCAGCACTCACCCTCCTGCCTCTGAAAAATAATTGTCTCCACAACACCCTGATCCTCACCCTGGTACATGATGCAAAATAAATCATAACACAGGCTTGGAAAATAAGTTAATTATCCACCAAGGGCTTCCACACGCTGCCTATGGAAAGCTTCCCCTCACTCTTCCCTGCATCCTTCTCTAAAAAAGCAGTAACACTGACAGCAGCTTTGCTCCCAACTTCCAGCAGAATAAATGGAAGCAGCATATTATAGAAAGCCACCAACTAACATGCTAAGAGACCCTATCTCAGTATAAAACAACAGACAAAGAGTTGATACCCTTTGCATTTTCAGTCCTCACCAAGCCAGCTTCATCAACCAATCTAACCTCCCTATCATCCTTCTCCTGCCTGCCATCTTTGCCAGGTAGAGCCCATACCTCATATTTTCCTTCATTCTCCTTCTTCATCTTCTCGACATCCAGCAGAAGTGACCAGACCTGGCCTCGCACCTGAAGTGGGATCCCTTTGTACACACGCCGGCACATCTGCAGGGAGGAAAACACATGCAAGGTTAGCTGGGTGCTGCTGGTGGCAAACACATTTTCTGCATGATTTGCTGCTGCAGATAATCAGCCATCTGAGCAGACACCCCAGGCAATCACTTCCTCTCCCTGAGATGGCACAGAGAGGGCACCTCTGATCTGATGGATGAGCTGAGTACCTGCATCCATCAAAGACAACTACTCAGTCAGTCACAGAACCAGAGAATCACAGAACAGTTTGGTTGAAAGGGACCTTACAGATCATCTAGTTCCCTAGATGATCTGTAAGGTCCCTTTCAACCAAAGGGACCTTACAGATCATCTAGGGGTAGTTAAAAGGGACACTTTTAACTGCCCCTGACTGCTTATAATCCCATCCAGCCTGAACCTTGAACATTTCCAGGGATGGGGCATCCAGTTTCTCTGGACAACTTGTGCCAGTGCCTCACCATCCTCACAGTAAAAAATTTCTTTCTTAGATGTAATCTACGTGTAAACCTGCCCTCTTTTAGTTTAAAACTGTAGCCTCTTGTCCTATCACTATCTGCCTGTGTAAAAAGTCATTCTCCCTTGTTTTTATAGGTCCCCTTTAAGTACTGGAAGACCACACTGAGGTCTCCTCAGAGCTTTCTCTTCTTCAGGTGGAACAACTCAACCTGTCTTCACAGGAGAGAGGTCTTTGTTCACTTCATCTCACAGCTGCTTCTTCTCTTTTTCCTGTCATAAAGCCCCCATTAAATTTCAATGGAAAACAGAAAAGAACAAAAGCGCTTTTTTTTTTTTTTTCCATTGCTGACTACTTCCATTAAAAGAAAAAGCTTCATAAGAAAGAAGAGTATCCTTTTCGGAATATTTTCCTTCCTTTCATTCATCCCACCTGTGAAACGCCTTGCAGCTGCACTACAAAACTCACAGTAGTACTCCTCCAGATTCCTGAGGAACCTTGGGTACACTGAAGGACCTGTGGCACATGCCCAAGCTCCAGCCATGGAGGGCATTTATGTTGCCTTATGGTGCTCTCTCAGAACCAGGCAATTCCTTGGGAAGGGACAGAGGCGCCAGGTTTCCAGTCATAGGAATGAGCTTGGAGCTGAGAAGGGCAGTGCCTGATCAGGCAATCAACTGGAGCTATTGTCACTGCCTAGTACAAATGCATCCAACCACCTTCAAAATCCCTCTTCTTTTTCCATAGGGTGTTCTGCTTCTTGCAATTCAGGCTGATGTAAGAGAAGAACTGCAGTCCCCAGGGAAGCACAAGATGCTAGCAGAAGGTTTTCTGGATGTGGGCCTGCCACACTGCCATTGCCACACCCAGCTGAACACCTGCTTCTCTTGCCTTTCCTTTCAGACCCACCTCACACCACCAGCTCTTTTATTTCCAACCTGACTTTTGAAGGTCAGCCTCTCCAAGGACATTAAGACCTTAACCACGGCACTGTGCTGGCTCACGGCCTCCATGAACACAAACTGACACTCCTCATTTCCTTACTCTCTTCATAGCAGCATTGTGGCTACTGAGGGCAAGACCCAGGAATGGTGGCCCTTGTCCCAAAGATTTACAAGACCAAGATGTAAGACAGGAGGTGGGCTTCAAGCAGAGGGACAGCAAAGAACTAATACCACTTTCCCAATCAAAAAAAGTATGTAAAATAACTCTGTAGTCTGTAGGACCAGGAGAACCAGATGCTTATGAGAACGCTTTTCCACTCCATTACAATAAATATTTCAGTATTTCTGCTGACAGAGAAAGTGTCTGCAACATATCCTGATCCTGAAAGTGTAATGGACATTCAACATTTAAAATGCCATCCTCAGAACTCCCCAGATGCTTGCTCTGCCCCAAGCATTGCTTAGCACCAGCTGTGAAGGTCCAGTGCATAGCCAGGATGAAATCCTGCAGAAATCCTTTACCAGATCCTGTCCTTCCCTGGGTATGCACCAAATAAAAGCTGCCCCTAAAAGCAACCTTACCAGCAAGACCTATGGAAAGCCACCATCCCGTTCAACTGCATGCTGCATTTCAAGTGGGACATCAATAATTCACCATCTGCACACCCAAAGGCTCATGTAAGGAGGTGCTTCTAAGGACAGCAAACCTTCATACCATGTGGGGTAGATTCATCCCCACTTCCCAAGAGTCACTAAATCAGGATGAAAGAAGTGCAATGCATCAAGAGACACAAAGCAACAGGATTAGATGAACCACATCCCCAAAGTAGTAGGTGCATGAAAGCCTGGCTCCTGCAAGCACTCATGCCTTTATGAAGCAAAAGCTGAGGTGAAGAAACTAGAATATGTACTAATTCTGACAAGAACACTAATTCAGAAAAGATTACTTATTTCCAGTGGTTTACAAAAGACTGACTGACAGCTGCCAAGGCATATGATGACAGTCAGGTCCGTGGGAAGGAAATAATTTTGCTTTGAATTTCCAGAGCTGGTATTGTACTTTAATGAGCGCAACCCTCAGTGGCATATAGTAATGTCTCAAATGATTTTCTTTGCACAAGTGCTAAAGGAACGGGGAGGTACAAAACATGCTGAGATGGAAGTGAAATGAAATGCCTTCCTGTTATTTAACCAAGGGCTTTCCTCCTCCCACCACCTCCAGACATGAAAGTGATAAAAACTCAGAGCTATGATTCACCCAGAAAAAAATGAGCAACTTTCCTTCATCATGAAACTTGAAGGAAAACAGGGAAGTTACCATACAAGTGGTACTTATGATGGGATGAAAAGACAGAGGTAAGGCAGCACATGATAACTCCTGTACCACATGACAGTCAAAACCAACCCTCAAGGTCACTCTCTTTTAAACCACTCAGCCCTTACAGATGGGAAGAGAGCACCTGGATCATGTCCCATGCAGGCTGACAGACCAATGCTCAGGCAAGAGGAACAAACACCATTCTGCTTCACAAAAGGAGATGCTGGTGGTCAAAGCAATGGTTTGAGACACGGTGGAAAGGCTGTGTCAGCCAAGGACTGAAGCCACAGTGTCTAAAACTTGCTCCAGGTTTTGCCATAGGATCATCTTCCCTCTCCAGGCATTAACATACAAAGCTCATGACACAGAGGCCGTCATCACCCCATCTCTATCTCTCCCCTGCCCACATATTTTCTCTGAGGTAGATGGGATGGGGAAGACTATGGAAGCACAGACTTGAGCTCCATGCTCCTGAACCAGCAATCTCCTCTGAGAAGTACCCAACCAATTGTTCCAGGTCTTGAATATGAGGGATGGAGTCACTGCCTTTAAAGACAGAACATCTTTTTGAAGTAGTAAAGATAGTGAAGTTAAAAAGGATTTGTGAGAGGTGGGTTGGTTTTTGAAGCAGAATATACACATTGCAGTTCACCTTCACACTTTGGAGTCTGTCACTGTTAACTTCTCAGCCATGTCCATGGATGACCAGGAAAAGACTGCAGGAGCAAGCAATGCCCAAATTTTGAGTATCCAAGGCAATATCTCCAACACTCCTAAAGTGTTGGAGACATATGCTGGATATATGGAAGGACTTGAAAGGGATATCACCTTCCTCAATTCCTTTAGGACTCAAAGAGTGATCCTGCCAAAGAGAAAGGACTTCTTCACATCCTCTACCAGTGATGCACCAGAGGAACTGAGCTGTGCAAATCCTCACCTGGAGTGGAGGGTTTCTTTTTAGTACCATGAAACCTGCTGACTGATGATGTGGCCATGGAGGATGCTTGGCAGTCTGGGCATCAGCACACAAGGCTTTCTTTCCATACTGTTAATGATTGCTCCCAACTCAGCTGTTGTGCTTGCTGCTGGAGCCTATGCAGCTATTCCTGATGGGGTACCAGCAAAGCAGGGGCAAATTTAAATCCTAAAGCTGGTGGGCCATGGGCAGGCATTTACAGTTATTGCCCAGGCTACCTTTGGAAGAGAAGAATTTTTGCCTTTCCAAAATGAGGGGGGAAAAAAAAAAAAAAAAGAAAAAAAAAAAAGGCAGGAGAAGCCACCCTGCAACTCCCAGACACAGCCCCCTTTCCTTCCTTCCCATGGCATTTGAGGCAGGAGATCTGACTTCAGCCAGCCCTGGCACGACACACGTCTGCTGGCTGTCCCTGGCATTAGCAGACTGTTCACTCCTGGGGGGTTGTGTCAGTCCATACAGATCCCCGATTCATCCTAAACCGCTTTGCTGGCATGCACTGGATTAAGTGCTCTGCACTCCCGTGACCTTAGCAGAGGCAAGGCTTCCCCCCTGCACAAAGGCAGGCTTTGCCTAAAAACCAGACATCTATCACCAAAGACATCCCTCTCTAAAGGTCCCATCCCACATGGCCAGCAGCAAGATGCAGCTTGCAAATGATGCAGAGGTCATATCCTCCTCCTATGACTGATGCTTCTGGCTGAAATCCACTTCAGGGCTATGATGAATAAATTATCCCGCTGTTGCAGCACACAGAGCACAGCCTTTTTTATCAGCAAAACTGTGCTGCCTGAACTGTGTAGATTCTTACAAGGCACCAGCCATTTCCTAACCTTCCCAAGCAAAGTCAGGCTGGTGTTTAAACTTGGGTTCAAATCAGCAGTGAAGAGGAGACAGACTACATGAGCCTCCGTGTGCTGAACCCTGAATAACACATTTTAGCACTTCTTTGCAGGTTTGACATACCTTAACTCTGCAAAACAATGCCATCCTTTCATGGATTCCTTTATTTTTGTACCCTTTCCCTTGTGGAAATTCAGCCAGAAAAAGGCACCATTGCATCATTCTAACCCCACCCATACGAGGAATTGTGCTGAGTGTCACTCTTTGCTGATCTTGAAATTAAATCAGGTTGTTACAAAATGTGTCTAGAACAGAGATGGAGACAGATCTAAGAAAATGATGAGCACATGGAGCCCCAGGACATTACTTTAATTAAGATAATCCTATTTGTTGCTCATCCTGAAACAGGTTATGCCAGAAATTATTTCAGCTCCTAGCCAGGCCATTCTAGTCAAGGAACTGTAAAAGGTCCCACTCTTTTTTTTCAGCCTTATTTCCAATAATCTGTGACAGTCACAAGACCCAGACTGCCATCAGCAGCATGCAAGGATGCACACAGGCTGCAGGTGGGGGAACAAAAAGCCAAACCTGCTGCTCTCTGGCGTTGGCTCATACCAAGGGTCTGAAAAAGCTGCTTTCTTGCCCACTGACAGGTGGCTGCTTTGGGGTCAATGCCCTGGATGGATACACCAGCTCACTCCTCCTGCTGACATTTCACAACACAGAAGATGAGACAACAACCTAAACCTTGATCAGATACTAAGATGATGCAAAACACAAAGGCTTGCTTGCTAAGTCCCTCCTCATCAAGTACTAGATATGATCAGATGTCTGCCAGCTCCAGCACATGAACAGGGACTGAAAAGGTTGGCCCTTAAGTCCAGAAAGTCCCAGTCTGGAATATAAGATGGGTTTCTACATCATTCAAGCAGAGTCAAAGTCAGGGCAACTTCCCTGTGAAACTGCTTGCTGTTCCTGCAACAAGATTTTTTCCCCCCTCTAATAAAGTACAGCATATCAAAATTAACATCAGAGGGAAGGTTCTTGTTTTCAATAAGAGGATTTTTTCAAAATTTGACACTTTAGTCATTGTTAAAATAACACAGAGTGGCTGTCTTGTGACATTTGAGTTTCTATCATGTCAGCCAAGTGGTGAAAACAAACTTGAAGGAAACATGCAATGCAGATGTGGCAGCCTGAGCACTCAGAGAAGGAACAAAACCATCCCACTCTGCTTTAGAAAAATCAGATCAAGGGCCTGTCACATTTACTTTAGCTAGAACAAAACACACAACCTCTGACATGACTGTGATCCCAGCATAAGGTCCTTGAAATGCCACAGTTGAACTGTATCCGGCTGTGGCAGCAGGAATATCTGAGTAGCTTTCACACTCCTGACACAAGAGTATGGGGTTTCACATCTAGGTGTAGGACACAATCTGATTTTATTTTTTTTTATTAAAAGAAGGCACACTTCTTTTGTGCCTCTCAGCATCTTTGCATTTAATGGTGTGTGGCTGCTACAGACCTTACAGCCTGCACTTGGCTTTGGTGCCAGGCAATGGGTGTGAGGCTGGGCAGGACTGAAACCAAAGCGCCTTTCTACTCCCCAGGGTCACCAGACTGTTCCTTCCCCCCCGGGGCCAAGCACTGCTTCTCTATTTGCTGGGAGAAGGGATGGCCATTTCCGGTCTCCCAGCATGGGACAATGCCACCTCTGTGTCCAAGAGCCATCAACCATTTACAGGCTGTTATTCATAACATCCTTTGTTCCACGACAAGAGCTTTCTCATTTTCTGACCCAAAGACCCTCAAGACCCACTTGCCAGTCTGACCAGCAAGACCCACTTGCCAGTTTGACCTCAAGACCCACTTGCCAGCCAGCAGATCTGAGTGACATCAGCTACAGTGTGCTTAACACCCCCAATAATTATCAAGGGAAATCCAAAAGAGACAGCGATCAGAGACTGCTACTGCTCCCCATCCCTCACGCTGGATCCTGCCTGTCCTCACCATCTGACCCAGGAAAGCCAAGGTGTGCTAAAACCACTCATCATTACCCACCACAAACACCCTCCAGGACCTGAAGGAATTCCCTGTACCCTGCTGGAATTTGGTGGTTTACCCACAAGGTCAATAACCAATTAGTGCTAACTTCTAATTAGAAAGAACCAAGTCACAGGAGAGCCTCTGATTTGCCTGAGGAGCAGCACTGATTAACAAAGTAATTAGAACCACCCTGAAGTGAACAGAAGGTTTATAAAACCCCAAGCCCACCTCCACCCCATCCCTGCTGTCATTAAGATGATTTTGTTTCTGGTTTTGCTTTTTTTTGTTTTGAAGAGTGATACTACAGCTGATCTTTGGCTGGCTGATCTGGACATGACTCCTGACAGCTGGGCAAAGAGGATGCTCTGCTCAATGTTCTCCCTAGAGCTATGCAGATATTCTTCAGATATTTCTTTCTACTTAGCCTTTTTAACCAAGCTCAAATTTCTCCCAAGGATTCCCAGTAGGAGCTAGAAGCAGTCCAGCCAAACACCCCACTTCTCCTGCTAAACACAAAGGCTGCAGAGGCCATGGCAACAAGGCAGTGCCAGGCTTCAGCCCTCTCCTGTGCAGAGTGTCGCAAGTAGAGCAGGTCAGACACAACGCTCCTCTCCTGACCCAGCAAGGATCATGTCACTAGGTTCAAAGGGTTTTTTGTGTCAAGAGGTTTGTAAGAGGAACGTATAACAGATACTATTTATTAAAAACAATTCAGTTTTGAAGTGGTGTTTGGTGCAGAGCTCATTTTAACACCAGAGACATAATGTTGGTGTCTCCATCCTTGATTTCCACAGACAGGTGTACACAATACGAAGCCTAAGTGGCTTCTCACAGGCACAGCTAGGAGCAAAATACAAAATCTAAGTATTGTTCTAGACTAATAATTCTTCCGCCAGGGAGAATTATAAGGAACATCAACTGGGCTGTATCAGTCACATCTTCCACATAATTTCAAGGAGGTGGAAACACAGAAGCAACTTCTGGCGTGCACTGCCCTCTGCTCTCACAGGGCAGGGAGCCAGCTGGGCACACAAACATCCCTGCTGTGCTCTTGGCTTACACAGGTATAAGTACAAAAACGGCAGCAGCATTTAGGAAACCCTTTTTAAAGCTATGTAAGTCAGAACACAACTTTTACCTCGACTGGTAACACAGAAATTTCTAGGAAAGCTTTAAAATATTAAAGACTAACAAGTAGAATCAGGCAATGTTCCAGAGATCTCTGGTTTATCTGCTGACTTTTTGAAAGCCTGACTCATCATATCCATCACACCCACCCTGCCAGACATACACTCTTTTACTCCTTACCTTGTCACTGTTTCTGTATTTGCCCCACTTCTTCAGCATCTTAAGCCACTTGTCCACACGTTCTATTTCCTGCTGTTTTTGCTGGTGCAAAGGAGAAGAAAAGACAAAATTAAGAAAAAAAAAGCCCCAGGACATCCCTCTTGAAGACACAAAACTTCATTCTCTCAGGTTTAAACTTCTATGCAAAGACCTCACATCAGGGATGGGAATAATCCACAGGTGCGTGCAGAAACTGGTAATTTCAGCACTTGGTAATTAAAAGCAGCACTGGTGAAAATGACAAGACACACAAGCTTAACATAGAGAAAGCATTCCCAAGAGTATTCCCTGACAATAAAAATCTTTGCATGTCCAGCTAGACTCAAATCCTATCACTGTATCAGATGAGAAGAAATGTGATTCAGTCCCATCTAGCAGGGTTCTACCAGAGGATATTCTCACATCTCAGGGGAGATGAGGATGGAGTTGATGGTTGCCTACAACTTCTACTGTCTTCCTTTACACATGCAGTCCCCTTTGTGAGCCACAGCTGCTGAGCACTGTGCCAAAGCAGAGGGAAAAGCCCAATATTGCTTTAAGAGGTGCTTTTGCAGTGCCATGTGGAGGAGGAAAATTGTCTGACCAAGCAAAATAAAAGCTCCAACAGCTGGGCATTGTGCAGTGTCCCCACCTCTGGGTGAGCAGCAGTGACCAGTGGGTGCTGGCTGCCTGCATTGCTCTTACTTGCTCACTTGTTTCCTCAAAACACATTCCCTCCCCAGCTGGTGTGAAAAGGATGCCACATCCATGATGACAGAGCTGGCAGCTCTCACCTTCTCCTCCAAGGCGGTGCGGGTTGGCAGCTCCTGCTCGCTGGAAAAGCAAGGGGTCACTGGTTACTCCATGGGCAAGAAAGGGTGTGGGGAGCACAGGGTGCTGCAGCTCATGGACCACCTCAGACACTTGAGGGGGTATGTCCTGGGGACTTTTTGCTCTTCCTACAGCTGTCCCCAGTATGAAAGAGGCAGGGGAAGCACCATCCAAAATCCCACCACCCAACAGGAGCTCTGGGGGGTAATCAAGCACTGGACATAACTAGAAATCCTGAGCATATATCTCCTCTTCAATACACACATGATCAGCAATTCAAAGGGTGGGTAAGCAGAATTTCTGGACAGCAATTGCTTAAAACCTCCCTCCTGCACACAGAACATGTACTATTGTAATTTCTGTTAAGAATCAGAATAAAAATAGTTATTTTTAAGTACTCATCCCAGGCATAGGGTGTGTAATTCATGTGTGCCTTGGTTAGGACGGAGATTTCTAAAGGAAAGGTTTCCTAAGGAAAGGTTTCCTAAGGGAACCAAAGATGATCAGCTATATTTTCCTATACCTATATCTCTTCCTATACCTCCCTGAATCATCAGGTGCAAACACAAGGGTCTCTCCCTCTCTGGCACACCACGGAGGCACAGGAGCACCAGCCTGCACCTTCTAACGCCAGGCTTGTGGTAGGAAACCTTTTCTGAGCCTTGTCTTGCAGCAAATTCAAAGCATCAGTGTCCAGACATGCACAGATGAGGAAGGAGGCCCATTTAGTCTTTCCTCCTGCATTTGGGATTGATCAAGCCAAGCCACAGAGCAGCTTATGAGAGAAATGCTGGGCCAGTCATGCTCAGTGCAGAAGGATGGTCCACACACACACACAAAGGTCAGAGAGGAAAGGTGAGGGCAGGAGGACTTACTGCAGGAATCCAAACCGGTCTGTAACTTTGTAGAGGGTGAAATCGGCATCTTCCCACTGGTCAATCTGAGCTCCTTCCTGTCTGCCCTGAAAGCAGAAGGGACACCTGTGAGCTGGTCCCAGCATTAGGAATGCCCCGGTGCCTGCATCCTGCACCCAAAGCAGGCAGGTCTTCTACGTCCCTCTCTTCTGAATGATAAAAGGCACAGAACCAGGAGAGCAAAACCTGCACTGAAGAGCCAAATTCAAGGCAGAGAAAAATGCCAAGTTCAGCCTATCCAGCATTCCATGTGTGCCTCTGCTAGAGGCTGGGAAAAGCTGTACATCAGATAAAACAGTGTTGTTGGGCATAAGCCATCCTGGTGTTAAGGGAGCACTGAAGCACCAGAAGCTCAGCACCTTTCAGTACCTATGCTGAGCACACATGGGACCCTCAATAAACTCCAGGGATGCAGTGAGAGGGGATATATAGGAAGGGAGAGCTGGCATGAAGCCTGATGGCATGAGGACTACTGGGGCAATGCCTGCAGGGAGGCAAAAGTTCTTATTTGATGCATTCCTAATTGATTACACAGCTTCAGCCCCAGCCAGCATGCTGGGGAGAGGCACGAGGCTGGTACCTTCTCATACTTGGCGACGATTTCTGCTTTTTCCTGGGCTATTAAAGACTCTATATCCTTCTTCATATCAGAAGCTGTAAGGGAAAAAAAAAAGCGGGGAGGGGGGAAAAGGAGATAAGTAAATGCGTACACAGCATGTGAAATATTTTAGGAAAGTGCTAATACAAAAAACATTTGCTGACAATTTTAGCTTCCAGCCATATCCCACAGCTAAAATTAGGCTGAGGTTGCTCAGCCACTGTACAGAGTTTGTGGAGCTTGCCTGCACACAGCAGGACCACCAGCTCCCTTCGCTGGGACACAGCCCAACCCGAGCAAGGGGGGAGTCTTGCCTTTGTTCTCAGGCACACACATGGCAGTGTGAAAGACGTGGCTTTTAAATCCAGACATGCAAACCAGGCACAGGGCACTGGCCCAGCACAGGACAGGCGCCAGCCGGGCGCTGCTTGGCACAGCATCCACATGGATGACAGCAAACCACTGGGTTTGGATGGCAAGCCAGGAGATGCTCTGCAGGGGCATCCAGAGGCAGATTTAACATCAAAGAAGAAATTGAAAGAAGTTTTAGCCTACTGAAGTGTGCATGAGACAAGTGAATTGGCCTCTAGGTGATTACCTTCTGTATACAATTCCAAAAGAAAACAACACAGCAGCAAGATGTCCACACCTCTGCTAAGAAGGACCAGTCTTGGTCTAAGCATGACCCAGTCTAGGTCCCTGGGGTCTGTGCCACTGTTTTGCTTCATCCCATACACATCCCTATGAGCAAGTAAGTTCCCACATCAAACACAACTTGAGTGTTATCCTGTACAAGCCCAAGGAAGCATCCTCCCTGTCAAGCCATAACTAGTTCCTCATTCACCAAAGGTGGAACTAACACACCAAGGAGAAAACGCAGGCAGACAAAACCCCCAGGGAAGGGGGTTATATAATCAGGGCTCTTTCATGACTCGTTATCAGATATCAGCACAGGCATGGCACCACGTTACACTCATCCATTCAGACACTGGAAAAATGCAAATTCTTCAAATTCATACCAGGAATGGGTGTATCTTCCCCTCTTATTGACTCCACAATCAAAACAGAGCAAGGACAGAAATATTAAAGTGTATTTTGTTCTTTTATTTTTCAAGCTACAGCTCCTACTTCAAATGTGAACTTTGATTAGTACATTTTAATCACAGCTTAATTTTCCAGTGCAGCAAGGTCTGAGTAACTGTCTCACCGTATCACCTAATACTTCTGCATCTCCTCCTTCTCACATCTCCTGTGAAACTTACAGGCAATTTCACTCCCCAGTTCTGACTTTTTTGTTGTTGTTATGGGGTGAAAAAAATTCCAATGATGTCTTTTACATGCTGCTAAAAATACAAATATTCTGCAGGCTACAGGGGAAAAATAAACTGTATGTCAGATTAAATGGGCAATTTTTCAAGACACTTATAAAGTGAAAGCTATTCTGAATATCTCTGACCACACTCTAAGAGAACAACAAAGGAAGAGCAACTTGGTACCATGGGAGGATTTACACAGCAAGAACATATATATTTTGGCATTCACCTCTGCAAAAGCCTCTCTGCAGCCAGAAACACCAGACTTGTGCGAAGGAGCCAGTTTTTAATCTCATTCCTGGAATATGCATATTTATTTTCTCTTTCTATAATTCTGCAAATGTCCAAATTTAGTAAAAAACTTGAAAGCAGAGAAAATGGGAGATGGCAAGCGGCTTCACCAGCCTTGGGGTGTGACCACAGTGCTGCTGCTTGGGAGAGCACAGAGACGGTGCTGTGCTCAACGAGGTGGTTGTCAAAGTACTCTGGAGAGGGAACAGAACATAGCTTAGCTCTGTAACAGCAGATATTGAATAGGGGTATTTTCATTATTTCATTCTACGTGTGCTCAAACTCCAGAGTAGTTTTGACATCATGATGTTATATAGCCTTTGCTTGAGGGAAATGACACCTCCCATACATGGAAACTACTGAGATTTATTTTCTGAAGGGTTTGATGGAACACATCATTTTTTAACTTGATGTAAACAGGCTTCCTATAAATAGGAACAGGCTGTATTGTACCTGCCATGCTTCTTCATATACCTATGTATGACTGCATACTTTCTTTTTTTTAATACACCACTTAAATTACTTTCTCAACCCTACCACCCAATTTTCTCCTGAGAGTACTGTATTTTCATAGCAAAGACTTTTATTTTTCCATGACAAACACAAAAGATGAAGCTGCTATGAACAGGAATAGTAAGAAAATGTGAACTGTGCAACAATGGTATTACATAATTAACTAGGATATAAGCAACAGAAAGCCTGAACTATGCACATTTAAATTCAACCCCAAAACAAAGTTATGAACTACCTCCTTTAAAAAAGAATGAGTTGAAAACATTCACAATCTGTCATGTCACACTAACGCTTGCAGCTTCCAGTCAACAATTTAAGGAAGTAAAAATTAATACCAACTACAATAAGCCTAAAAATGTTTAATGAAACTGCACATTACTGCCTACCAACATTGAACATTATCTAGCTATCAGCAAACCTGAAACAAAATACCAAATTTTTGAATGAAAGTGACTTTCCTTGAATTAATTCACCAGCTGGAATCTCAAATATTGGCAGCAAGAAGAAAGTATCTGCATCAAAAATCCAAGACTTCATGTCAAAATTTTTCTCCATAAATCAGATTTACTGTTATACTAGTCCCACAAGTCCCATATTTTTCCAGTCAGATGTGCCAAGCTCCCATTGCCCTACATGCGATAGCACCCACCAGGACCAGCGTGGCTGGGAGAGGGGAACCTCTGTCCACCAGCCCAGTTCTGCAGCCCTGCTCACTGCCCAGGAGAACTGAGCATTTCCCATGGTCCAGCAGCAGTGCTCCTTGTGACACAGCCCAGGACATACACACGTCCCCTGTCACCTCCAGCCACAACACCATGTCTCACACTTATCAATTCATCAGCAATCACCCTGCCAGTACTTGACAGATGGGCTTTTGAAAATGAAAATATCAGCAAACTCTCTTCTTAGGAAACACAGCATAGCAACATGTTCTCAGTCTCAGCCTGGATTTGAGGATATTCTGGAACCCAGCTTTTAAATCTTTTGTACTGTAGAACAGTATCTACTCAAGCTATTTGAGATTAAGACTACATGTTTGTAGTTGGTTTCTGTTTGGTGGAAGGTCATTGAGAAAGCAGAAATGCGTTTAGGTAAATGTGTGCTCTCATTCTATGTCCACTTAACTTTAAATAGAGACTGCTGCTAGGATAAGAAAGAAAAGGCAAGTTTTGACACACTGTACTTCACTACCACTCTGGCCTCTATCAGAGTGAAACTACTGCTGTGGAATAAGGTAGAAAAGGTTACTTACTACAGTCACACCAACCACTGCTGAAACACAACAAATCACTGTTCCTGTTTCATGTTCTATTTTAGAAGCACATTTCTACACAGCATTTTATGTCTTTAGCCATCTATGGTATCAGCCTGCAATTTTTGCTTTAAGAGAACAGTTTTAAAGAAAAATCATATACATCTATGCAAGCAAAAATGCTTATACATCTATTAAGAGGAAAAAGCCTCTCACAAGGTACATCTGCAGTCTGCACCCTCTCCCAGCAAGGCACTTTTAAAGCTACTACTCACTTTTAAAGCTTCTACTAGTTGTAACAGTGACTCACGCACTTGCACACCCTGGAATAAACCTGGCCATGCAGTGAAAGCAACTAAAGCAAGCTGTGAGAAGTTGAATAAGCCCCATTAGGGCTTTTTACGTGCATGAAACAGGCACCTTGACATGCTTCAAACCACACAGGTTAAGGGCTTGAAGCAACCTGCCCATCCTGGCTGCCTGGTAGAATGTGGGGGGACAGTCAGCAGCTGCAAGCCAAGAGGAGCTGTCATCAGAGGCTCTTTTCCCACATGCTCAAAGCCTTTCAGAAGCAAAGCCACAGCATTACACCACTGCACATACCTACCACGCACAGCCAAAGCGAGCACGGCTTTGGGACTGCTCCACCACAGCCTGAGGAAACCTCAAAGCCCCCAGGGCAGCCAGGAGGGGCTGTGGGCTGTTACAGGTGGGCATGGGCACGCCTGGCTGTGTGCCCATGAGGTGACAAGCCAAGGAGGAAGTGAGGGCCACATGCTGCTGACTGCAGGCAGAGCTTTTGCTTTGTGAGAACCAGCCCCATGCAGAAGTCAACCTGCTCCTGAGGCCGTGGTGCAAGATAGGCCAGCATGCCCATCTCCAGTGCTGCAGCTGCTGCAGCATTTTTTTGCTAGACCCCTAAATTTCTACTCCAAAATGGACAACACATTCAGTGCACTGGCATCAAGGACTTCTGCTGATCCCCATGTGCAGATGCTCTCTCATTAACAAACCCAGACTGCAAACATCCTGGCCAGCACCAGCTTCAAAACACTTCACTGGACTGTGCATCCCTGACCTTAGCTCAAATCCGGCACACAATTACATCCCTGCTACCAGAAAGGAAATCAAGACCTGCACTCACGAAGTGAATTACGGCTTCAGGAATGAAATTACTATCAAGCAGGATGAACCAAGATACAGGAGATCCTGTTTGCATATTTATTTCCTTGACTACAACCCAGGGGAACTCAAGCAAGCTTTTTTGTTTGTTTGTTTTAAGAGCATAAGGAGCACTAAGCCAGCTGAATTGCAGGAAGGTTTGTTTTAACTGTCTTGGGGTCTTTGAAAATTACTATAGATCATTTTAGATGAATCACAGATGTGCTACAGAAAATTCAAATGATCTTCTGTCCTAGTAAACTTGCACTGGATGCTGCGCTGGATAAAACCACAGTCACATCCCTCAGCAGAGGTAGTGGGAACACCTCCACTGCAACTCACTTTGATGCCACCAGCAATACCCCAATAAGCCAAAGCATCCAGCATCATTGTAGATGAGGTCCTGCTGATTTACTAGCATGTGTAACCACCATTTATGACAGCTCTCAGTGTGATTCATATTTGCTCCAGAGCCAGTTTGTGAGTTTGGAGAAGACAGGATGAAAACACAACCCAGCTCCCAGCAATGTGCCCTTACCTGAGCCTTGTATCAGGTGCCAAGATTCATCAGTTCAGCTGGAGTTGGCCACTCCCCTGAAGGCATCTACCTGGCAGGAGCCAGTTGTCTCTCCTGCAGGGTGGTGAGGACCCCCAGTTGCCACAGCCCACTGGTCAAAAGCCCTTTGGCTCACCCACACTGTCCCAGCTTCACGTGGCCACTCTCCTCCACCCTCGTCCGCTGGCACGTGAGAGCTCACTGCAGGCGGCTGGGAGAAGAGGCAAGGCAGGTGGCAATCCACACTGTCTTGTTCCCCAGGCTCACTGCAAAGGAAATAAGAAGTTGATCAGTATTCCAGTTCTGGCACAGCAAAGGTACCATCCTTTACCAACACAGGGGTCTTTGAACACAGAGGAAAGGCAGGTTCCTTTTGAGCTGGTGGGGAAAGAATAGGCTGTAACTGCAGGGCATACAATGGCAGAAAGTAAACTACACTTGTATGTGCTGCAAAAAAACCTTGGTGTGGTTTTTCTTGCCATTTTCCACCCCGGTTAGGTCCCAGGGTTTCCCATGAAGGTCCAAGAGCCCAACACACCTTTATACCAGCAGGCACATTGCATTGATAACTCAGCAGGCAGAAGATGCCCCCTACCCAAGTCAAAGGCACAGTATTACATCCGACTCCAGCTAATCTAATAGTATGTTGCCCCCAAGAAGGGCTGCAATGGAGGGTTCAGGCCATTCCTTCAGGACTTGGGTCAGGTTAAGAGCAAGACACATCACTGACTTGCATGGTAGAAGAGCTGACACCAGCTGTGCCACCTGAGCCACCTTCCAGCACTTGCAGTTCTCCCTGATACATCCAAACAGCTACATAGTCCAAAGGACAGCAGAGCCCAACTCAGAGCTATCACTTACACAAACCAACTTTTTAGTTCTCACCTTCAGCAACACAGACAAGCAACACACTAATTCCACAAGTGTGACATCAAGACAGCATCCCAAAGCATGACACTCTGCTTAAATTCAGCAAGCACCGGGCAGAGGAAGCACACCTCACTTCTGTCATGAGCAGCCGCTTTAATAACACCACCTCTCTTCCAATCCCCCTCACAAACACCAGCAAATGTTTTCCACACAAGCCTGAGTTGTCCTGTGCTGAATTTCTCTGTTGTCACCTCTCCAGCACTCAGACACAACGACCTGGAGGCCCTAAAGTGCAGAAGACCTCACACCCTTTCAGAAGTGGGCACCATTATAATCAACCCATTATACTGATTATATTTTATATATGTTTTCACCTAGTAGGTTATAATGTATTTTACACACATTAAATGCAGATTACACACATTTGCCTCTATTCTCCCAATCTGCACCAAGCTTTTAGAGTACAATTGCAAGCTGTGGTGACGATGACAACACTATGCTGCTAGACTAGGGCAATATCAAGAAACCCAAATACATTGGCCAAGTCTTCTAGTTATAGAAGTAACTAAAAAGCCATGTAAGACTGCAACTATATGCCATCCACCCCCTCAACATGAGCAGCACTACCAATAAATAAAACCTCTCTTAACCCTCTCCCTTCCTTTGCTCCCAGTACTTACACCTCGCTCTCATTCTCACACACATTTTTGGTGCTCTGCCTTGGCACTCTTCACCCCGAGGATGGAGATGGGAGGAGATAAACAGCAGGGCTGATAGAGAGATTTGGTCTCCTCCCTGCTTATGCTCAGTAAGCCCAGCCTTGGTGTTTCTGCACAGCTCAGCTGTTGCAAAGTCAGAAGATGCAGCTTTAGACTAAACCCTCTGAAAAGAGCAGCGAGTCTATAAGCAATTCTTTGTCAGCTTCTATTTTTAGACCTCACAGGGAATAAAAGAGCACCCAAACATTTTTAAAACACTTTTAATGTAAGCTCATCTTCTAGAGACAACAATATCCCAAAAAAATTACAGACAAAGGACTGCACAAAAACCAAAGATGCACGAGTTATTTTTAAAGCATCATTATTTAAATGATTTTTCATTTGAAAAAAATAAGCAAACTGTAGAATGCAAAGGTCCACATGCTTCTTTTGGGAATTGAAGAATTGAAGATTAATTTCCTCTCTGCTTTCCCTCCTTTTTTTATTCCAGTGTCTATAAAAAGGGAAAAAAAGAAAAAGCCAGAGGGAAAACAAACAAACAAAAAAATCCTCTTTTTTTCGGGTAATGCACTGACCTGGAAGGGAACTATATCAACACAGAGCTTAGTAACGGGCTGCTTCTGTTTGCTTAAGACTGGAAAAGCAGTTTGCATTTCTTTAACCATAAACTAAAGTAAGCTACAATGATGGTCATTCTCCACTTTGACATGCATTCCTCCTAAAACACTGTATTTTATTCTTTATAGTACATGTAGCAACACTACAGGACACGCTACTCTTCCCTTGTCATTCTTGCCTTCAGCTATACTTAGCAATTTTGGGTAAGTTAAAGGCTCCTTTTGCTATTTAAAACTTTCCCTGGTTCTGGCTTGGCGGGGCACAGTCAGCTAGAAGCCACCTACCCCCAACATGTGCCCGAAGCAGCAGGGTGAGGACACGTGTCCCGGCTGATACCCAAGATGTCACCCTGGGCACTGTGGAGTTAGTGCTTCCTAGCCAAAACCAAAGGAGCAAGGATACATGTATAACTTACCATGCTGCCAGCACCCTGTGCTCTCTTTGGCACAGACATGCAGCATCTTTTTTTAAACACATACAAGGAAATAACAAATTTACCGTTATATAAAGTTGCTGGTACAGCCAATGAAATAAAAGAGTAGGAAGTTAAAACTCCACTAATAAGATGCAGTTTGTCTGTGAAAAACTTGTCCAAAATAATTATTGAGGCAAATGACATGTATGCTGCAGATATATAAGCTGAGTTGAAATGAGACCTATGCTGACTCTGTGTGTCTCACACTGCTTTCCAGAGCCTCTGCCTCTTTTTCAGGAGAGAGGGATCTTCAGCCATTAGCCTGACCCCAACTAATGCCCAGCCCCTAGGAACCACCCTCATTCCTTCAATCACTTTAATGAGTTTAATCAGCTCACACTGCCTCCAAATACAGAACCCTTACAGGAAATTATGTGTCTTTGGCAGCCTCTGCAGAGGACACTCCCTGACCATTTTACTGGCAGTATCGTGGACTTGCATTACCTTCAAACAGCATCTCCAGATGCTAATGCATGAGCTTTTGTTAACTTGTTTTCTTCTATCAAAGACCCATGCAAGCAAATCCAGTAACAGCAAACTGTAGAGAAACAAGAAGTACTTGATCCAACACCGGAAAGTACTGAGAAAACATCTCCCAAAGCTTTTTTTAACAGCCTTGGAACTAAATGCAGAACAGCATTAGGATACGTAATTTTTTAAGTCCTATGAAAGGAATCTTTTAAATTACAACATAACTTTTCTGTTTCTTTCTGCTTGTTGTTAACACCTAAAATCACCCCAACTTAAGAAATGCAGGATTTGTATTTTTTTTAATTGTGTGTGTGTGTGCAAACACAACATTTTTTTAAAATCACAGAATCATACAACAGTGTGGGTTTGAAGGGAACCTGGCGATCATTTAATTCCCAATCCCCATGCTAAGGACAGGGTGCCATTCACTAGACCAGGTTGCTTAGGTCCCCATCTGGCCTGGCCTTGAACACTTCCAGGGATAGGGCATCCACAAACTTTCTGGGCAACCTGTTCCTGTCCCTCACCATCCCCTGAGTAAAGAATTTCTTCCTAACATTTAATCTCTCTTCTTTTAGTCTGAAATCATTCACCCTTGTCCTATCCATATGTGCCTGTGGAAAAAGTCATTCTCCCTCTTTTTTTCTATGCCCTCTGTCAGTATTGAAAGGTCCTCTAAGGTATCCCTGAAACCTTCTCTTTTCTGGGCTGAAGAACCCCTGTTCTCTCTACCTGTTCTCATAGGAAAGGTACTCCAGCCCTCTGATCATCTCTGTGGCCCTACTCTGTAGCTATTCTAACAGGTCCATGACTTTTTCATGCTGACGACTCCAGAGCTGGACACAGCACTCCAGGTGGGGTCTCACAAGGGCAGAGTAGAGCAGGAGAACCCCCTCCCTCATCCTGCTTTGGATGCAGCCCAGGATGCTTTGGCTTTCTGGTCTATGAGCATACACTCTTGGCTCATGAAGAGCCAGCTCCAAGACAGAACCCTGAGGGACACTGTTTGTCACTGGCCTCCACCTGGACATAGACCCACTGACCACAACTCTCTGACAACCTCCAGCCAGCCAATTTCTTTTCTACCCAGCAGTGCATCCTTCAAATCCATATCACTCCACTTTAGAGACGAGGGTGTCATATGAGATCAAGTCAAAGCCCTACAGACCTCTAGGTAGATGACACCAGTTGGTTTTCTTCCCTTGTAGAGTGTTGCAGTCACTCCACCAGAGAATGCTACCAGGTTGGTCAGGCACAATGTGCCCATAGTGAAGCCATGCTGGCTGTGTCAGATCACCTCCTCGTCTTTTGCATGTACCTTAGCACTGCCTCCATGAGGATCTGTTCCATGATCTTCCCAGCCACAGAGGTGAGGCTCACTGATCTGTAGTTACCAGGGTCCCCCTTTCTACCCTTCTTAAAAAAAAAAAAAACAGATGTGATGCTTCCTTTTGTTCCAGTCATCAGGGACTTTGTCTGACCACTGTGAATTTTCAAAAATGATGGAAAATGACTTGCCAACCACATCACCCAGTTCTCTCACAATCCTGGAATGTACTCCATCAGGCCCCATAGACTTGTGCTTATTCAGTTTCACCAGACGGTCTTTAATGTGGCTCTTTGCTTACATTGGGAGGGACTTCACTCCCCCAGTTCCCACCTGAGAGATGTGGAAAGCCTGACCGCCAATGAAGAATGAAGCAAAGAAATTGCTAAGTACGTAAGCCTGATCCAGATCTGTCATTATCAGTTTCCTCTCCTCATAGTGGTTGCCTTCCCTTTGAGGGAATTGTCCACACAAGAAGTCCTTCCCTCTTCTCCTAGTGCAAAACATGTTTATAAAATCCAACCATAGGTAAAGACTTAATGCAGAGGTAATACTTTAGCTTATGAAACAGCAATGACCATGTAGGACACCCTGTTAAAAGCAGCTTTCCAGATTAGGAGTTAATATGAAAATAACTCAAGGATTCTTGTGATTTTGAACAGTGTTGAAATCAACATCTGTCCCATTTGGTCAGGGCTTCAAAACACATCTCACAATTTACTGTGCATTTGGCTGTTAGCATTTTACTGTGGTTGATATGAAATTAAACTTGCCACAGAAGCTGAA